AGGAAAATTGCATCATGGCTCCAATTCGTATTTGTCACAAAGCGGGATTCACGAAAGCTCTTTGTGAATTCTTTTTAATTCATTTCAATTAGTTTTCGTTTACTGGGATGTACTGAGAGAATAATTTATTTAAAAACCAACAAGAAAGAAAAGAATTGACAAAATACAATGAGTATAATTGAGTTTAGAAAATCTTACTTTTAAAGAATAACGATTACTGGTGTTGTATGAACTGGTGGTTGTATCTGGTTGTCCGATCTCCAATGGTGTTGAGGGCTAGACGCAATGGGGCCTGTGACAGTTGTCCTTAATGGTTGAGTGTTGATCCTCTTGTTTACACTAATGAGATAGTGTATTGTATTTTGAAAATATCTGCTTTCTTCCAGACAGTTGTCGCCTCTTGAACAAATTTCGATGCTTCGAAATTTGTTATATATGTACTTCGATATAAGATTTGTTGAAACTTGGAACTGCGTTTCAATATTAGACTTTCGTTGATACTTGGGTTTATTTCCAATTTAATATTTTTTTGGAAATTATTAAGTTGTACTTTAAAATACTGATTCGAACTTTCTTTCAAAAATAAAACTTGAAGATGTAATTCACTCGCTGATGATATACTCTTTACACTAGAGCAATACTAGATCGATGTGTTCAGGTTGATTCCCAAAAAATTACTCTCTCTACTGAAGATGTTATGAGGTTGGCTTTCAAATTATTACTCTCTGTCTGAATGAAACTGCTTGCCCTTTTTATATTGAATTTTCATAACTGTAATGATCCCGAAAAATTGTACACGTGCTAAAATTTGTTTCTCCTTGTGCTAGTTAATAGCGAAAGAACCTCTCTATGCATTGTCGATATTTCCTCCGGGAGATTGTACGTATCGCCCTTTCGTTAAGTTTCTCGGCGTTTGTTGTTCACCTAAGCTTCTCGGGGTTTGCTGCTTTTACTTTCTTTCGTCCGGCCTACGTTTTTAGAAAGCTGTCGAATTGTCGCTTCATCGTTATTCTTTTTACATGAGTAATAATATTACTTTCCTTTCTTGGATTGTTACAGTTTCAAAATACATAGTGTACATTTGTACAGTAATCAATATGCAAATAAAATATGACATTAGAATACAATATTAAAATAGAAAAATGTATTAAATATAATACTAAAATAGAAATGTGTATAAATGATAATTACAATATCTTAATAGAGAAATATACTGAATATAAGGCAATAATAAATTAATACTTAGATTATAAGAGTTAGAAAATATATATATAAGGTAAATACAATATGTTACAAGAACACACATACATTATAATTTATAGAGTAATAGGTTACGGACGTAACAGTAGTAGTAACAATTTATGAAGAATATATTTCAAGTTTTTAAAATAATAGGTAATATTTGTTAATTTTATTACAATTTTTGGGAAATAATTAAATTCTTCTTAGAATTTGATCACAACTTTTTAATATATAATCGAATTCATTGAAATTTAATTATTGAATTTTGTTAAAATTTTTTTGAAACAATTCAATTCTTCTCAGAATTTTATTACAATATTTAAAAATAACTGAATTCTTTCGAAGAATTTTATAAAAATTGTAATGAAAATAATTGAATTCCTGCGAAGAAATGTATTATTCATGAAAATAATTCAATTCTTACAAATATTTAATAAAACTTTTCATTGAAAAAATTGTATTAGGTACTATTTTCAAAAATAATTAAATCCTTTTGACAAATTTTATTAAAATTGTATTGGAAATAATTTAATTCGTGGGTAGAATTTTACTATTTATTTACATTTATAAAAATAATTTAATTGTTTTGAAGAATTTTATTAAAATTCTTCGAAAATTGCATTCTTTTGAAGAAATTTAAAAAATTGAATCCTTTGGTAAATTTTTGTATAAAAAATAATATTGAAAATAATTTAATTCCTGCGAAGAATTTTATTATTTATAAAAATAATTTAATTCCTTCGAAGAATTTTAATATTCATCAAAATAATTGAATTCTTAAGAATTTTATTAAAATATTTGAAAATAATAAATTAAAATAATTAATTACCTATGTAGGGTCAATTGGGGTAAATGTAAACGGAATATCTATTCTTCACAAAAAACATTAGTTTTTTTTTTGTTAAAAGGTAAAACGGACGGATTTTTTTTTGGATAAACTTGTTACTAGAGTTCCTTAGAAAAATTTCATGAGGTTCAAAAAAATATTGATGCACCTGAATCGCCTAAAACTGACTGTTTACATTTACCCCGAGATTTTAAAATTTTCCTAAAATTCGGAGTAAATGTAAACACCACTGCGTAGTTAAGCGAGGTTTAAGAAACAAGTTATTTCAAGTATACTACTGTTTTAAGGGATGGAAAAACTGATAAAAATTCTTCGTAGATGTATAGTAAATCAACCAGTCGACGGATAATGTATCATATAAAATAAACAATCAACCATTACAAAATTAGTAATGTAAAAACTTGAATAACTTGAACAAATTTTAATAGATTTTCATTCAACTTGGTAAAAAGAAGTTTTTAAGGTTGCTGAATAAGAATCTAAAATCGAATTTTTAAATTTCAAAATGGTGGATCCAATATGGCGGATGAACCTAAAAATAATATTTTTAAAAATTGATCAAATTTGCTTGAATCTGGCTACTCGGGGGTTTTTGAGGTCGCTGAATACGAATTTCAAGTCAAATTTTAAATTTTCAAAATGGCGGATGAACCTAAAAATATTTTTAAAAAATTGGACAAGTGCGAGTTGTACTCGCACTGCAATGGCGGGTTCCGTACACAAATATTAAAACAATACTTGCAACATTTATCGGTAATTGGTAGAATTAAAATAAACAATTAAAAAAATATATTAAAATCATTTGATAAAAAAGAATAACTAAAAAAATTAAAGTATTGTATATATCTAATATTGTAAACAATAAAAAGCAGAGGAACTATAATTTTGAAAATTTTGTTCCTCTGCTTATTATTGTTTACAATATTAGATATATACAATACTTTAATTTTTTTAGTTATTCTTTTTTATCAAATGATTTTAATATATTTTTTTAATTGTTTATTTTAATTCTACTAATTACCGATAAATGTTGCAAGTATTGTTTTAATATTTGTGTACGGAACCCGCCATTGCAGTGCGTGTACAACTCGCACTTGTCCAATTTTTTTTTATTTTTAGTTAAGAAATTAAAGTCAGAAAACAATCTCTCATTTATTCTCTTAAAATTTCACTCTTCCTTAAAATATTTAATGCCACGTGTTTAAAATAAAAAAAATTAAAAAAAATTTTTTTTTTTGAAAAAAAAATTTAAAAAAAAAATTTTTTTTTTAAAAGTTTCTTAAATAAATTTTTTGTCGTCAGACTGTAATAATACACCAGGATACCAATTTCCAGCTCATCAGGTCAAATAATGTAAAAGTTAGTGAAAACAAATTTTTTTTTTTAACTTTTTAGTTTTTCCTTGACAACGCTATGGCCATCATTACATATCAAGTTCTCTATATTTTTCCTGTAATATTCGAGTAAAAATACACCAGCATGCAAAATTTCAGCTCTCCATGTCGAATAGTTTAGAAGTTAAGGGGGGGGGGGGAATGGTCACTTTTTATGCATTTTTGGCCAAAAATCTTGTTATTTCCTTGACAACGCTATGCCCATCACGTCCAATCACATTCGCTATATTTTTCCTGTAATCTACGAGTGAAAATACATATCTGGACCAAATTTGAGCTCTTTAGGTCAAATAGTTTAGCCGCTAGGGGGGGGGGGACACGATTTGGCTACGGACAACAGAGTCTCACCAATAGGGTTCCGCCGATACACCGTAGGTGTACGGAACCCTAAAAATTGATCAAAGTTAAAAAAAAAATTTTTTTTTTTTAAAGAGGACCTAATTTTCTTTTCTATGTAATTTTACATTGCCAAATTAATGAAATTGTGAAATGGAAGCAAATTTATTCAATTATTTTCTTTTAAAATGTAGTTCAAGTTCTGTTTACATTTACCCCGAGTTTTCGAATTCTCGGGGTAAATGTAAACACTTAATTATTTATTAACTAAATTGACGAAAATCAAAGTCAATTTTTGTTAGGGCATTAATAAGGAAGAATTACATATTTTTGTTTGATTTTTAAATTTATTTTTATGCAAATGCGAGACAAAATACTGAAACAGTAAAATTTTGATTTTCAATCTTTTTTGCATTAAAAAATAACTTACACTATGGCATTGCCAATTGTCAAAATAAAATATTGGCAATGTCAGAACATCTTGTAGGTGAGCTGAGGTAAAAATATTGACGTCGTTTTTTTTTAATTTGTAAATTTAGCTGAAACATGTACTGTTTACATTTACCCCTTGTTTACATTTACCCCAAATGACCCTACTTAATAAGTGGATTTTTTAATTTTGAATCTGAAATTATTAAAAATTAATGTTGATATTTGAAAATAAAAAATTTTGTAATTTGCATAATAATAATAATAAATTGAACACCGCGTTTCGCGAATAACATTTTATATGGTAGTTAAAAATAAATTAAAATTCCAAAAATAGTATTATTTATTACGGCTCGTTTGTATCATAACTTTCTTTAGTTTATAAGGTTATTTTCTTAAGGACATTGTTTGTCCGTTCAAACTTAAATAAATAAAATTTAAAAAAAAATTTAATTAAACGAAATAATTATGTTTCTACAGTTCTGAACCTTCAAATGAACATAATTTATTTATTTCTTGCTCGAATTAAAATTTTATTAAATGCGTTTGTTTCGCACACATAAAAAAATGTGGAGATGGAAATATTTTGTTTTTTTCAAATTTTTCGAAAAATATTTGTACGTTCAAAACTTTTGGATCATAAATATATAGTAAAGTAAAAAAGAAATTTAAAAATGCTTAACAAAAAAAATGAAAAATTTCCTCAATATATATTGAAAATACGTGAAAAGTATGAAGAAGAAAATTTTTACCTCCGGCAATTCATCCGGTACTTTTCCCATCCAGCTGAGGGAAAGAATATTGCAGTCGCACTTCGCATTATTGTTCTTTTCGAAATGCAAATGCATTTTGTTCTACTCACTCCCTGCTTGCCCATTAAACAAATCGTATCAGAAGCCCTCCTTATAATTTTATCACCAAATTGTCGTGTCTTATTCTCAATTTTCTCATTATGTCGACTCTAATGTATATATAAATCTCAGTTTAAAAAATTATGACAAGAAAAAAAGCTAGCGACACCCCCAAACTCGAGACATTATGCGATAGAAAAAATGTCTTCTTCAAATTCTTTAAAATTTACAACAAATATTTTTTATTATTTATTTACAATTACTATAAAGAACACTGTTTATTAAGGTCCTTATATAATTTCTCCCTTTTTTACTCTTAGTTTAGAAATCAGGGTGTCTACTATTTTCGTTTAACAAAATTCCCGGTTATTTCCCGGTTTTTCCCGGCTATATCCTAATTTTTTCCCGGTTTTTTTTTCTTATCAAATGTAAATTTAAATTTGATTTTAAACATAAATAAATCATTAAATTTTCTGAAAATAATGTTTTTTTCAATAATTTTAATTAAAAACTTGGAAAATACTTGAATTAAACAAAGAATTTTTTCAAGTTTTTAAAAATAATCTTGTCTCTTTATAATTATAATTGAAAATTGGATTTTTCAATTTTATTAAAATTACATTGATAATAATTGAACTTCTGCAAAGAATTTTACTATTTATAAAAATAATTGAATCCTTCCAAAAAATGCTATTATTTATGAAAATAATTTAATTTTTGTGAAGAATTTTATTAAAATTTTTGAAAATAATAAGCAGCAATAATTAATTATTTACTTAATATGTAATAAACATTTAATTTGCTCAAGAAATAAATAAATATCATTTATTTGAACATTCAGAAATTTAAAATGATAAAAATTTAAGAGAAGTTCAATAATTATAATTATTAAATAATAATAGAATAGTATAATTTTTAGAAGCAAAAAATTGATTTAAAACTGTAAGAGGGACTTAAAATTTTAAAAATAAAATTATAATTATGGTCACTAACTTCCCTTGATTATTTTCGAAAAATTTAAATAAAATTCTTTAAAAAAATTCAATTATTTTTCAAAAAAAGTAAAAAAATTTCAATGATTTGTTTAGAAAAATTCAATTATCTTGAAACAATAGAATTGAAAAATTACAACAATTTTATTTTTTAGATTTAAAAAAAATTTTGCGAAAGTTCAATTTCATTAAACAATTTTAAGTATGTATATTTTTTAAATTAACTAATAAAAATTTTAATTATTAATCTTCGCAGTAAGAAACATGAATACATTAGAATTTTACTCTTTATAATATTCAATTATTAATAAATTATTAAATTAAAATACTTTGAAAATTCTATTTGTTAAAAAGTTTCTAATGAATTTCTTTAACAAATTTAATTACATATTTTCAGTCGAATTTCGCAATATTTCTATTAACTCCATAATTTTTTAAAAATTTATTTACATAATATATTTGAATTCGTAACTGATTTTTTATCATCAAATTAATTATTTTTAAGTAACTTAAATTTAGAGAACAGTATAAATATCTATAAAAATTGAAATAAAAATTGATTTTTTAAAAACAAATTAAAATAATAAAACTTTTTTAATTTTTGTGAAAAAATTCCCGGTTCGGTATAAAATTCCCGGCTAATTCCCGGTTTTTCCCGGTCAAATAAAATTCCCGGTTATTTCCCGGTTTTCCCGGAATTCCCGGTTAGTAGACACCCTGGAAATACTTATTTTTATCAGGCAGTTGAATGAATTATTTCTTATTATTTCTTACACGTGAATGTAATTCATTATGTTATTTTGAAAAATGTAAATTCTAATGTTGGCATATAAAAAGAAACATATTATTTGTTTCTTGCGCGAGAGTCGCCATTTTGCCGCCGCTTTGACTAGCACTTCATCACATATATAAAGTTTCAGCAAAAAAATTTAAAAAAAAGAAAAATTTGTCTGTCCTATTCTTTTTGGAAAATGAAATTATATCGTTGAGCTTTCTGCGCGACCGAATGTCAGACTGAAAAGCTCGGAGCGTGTCATGAAGCTCACGGAATACAATTTTCCATTGCTCTGCGCCGATTTTATTGATTGTTCCGCAGGATTGCAACGAAATGCCGTCTGACGGAAATCTTCTTTACTACTGATTCGACCCCCTACCCAACATATACACCCATTCTCTGTATTCTAAAGGGTATGTCGTTTGTAATGACGTCATCGAATACCGACCGAATTGAAAATATTCCGAGGGAATTTTCTTTTATGTTAATGAATACAGATCTTCTGCTCAAATCAATACAAGAGAATCCTATAAAAAAGGTTCCATTTTTTTTCTTAAAAATTTATAATTATTAACTTATTTTTTGAGTTACACATTTAGTTGATTTATTGACGAATTCCATATTGATCTTGCTTATTTTTAAAATCAAAAATTTGCAAAACAAAATCATACAGGATTTGAATTTATAAACTAATTATATATTTTAATTTTGTTAACTATTAACATTTTTTTGTGCAGCTGATTTTAATTTATACTTTAGTTCAGGCCTCAGATCGAATTCATACTCTCTATATTTGAATTAGTAAATTTTATTAATAAGTATAGTAATTTCTACTAATTTAATATTAAGATTTACTAATTCAAAAGCAAAAAGTCAGTCACTAATTCAAATTAGTAAACATTTTTACTAATTCAAATTTAGAGAATAAGGCGCAAGAAAAGTCGTTTTAGTCGATTCGAAGTACCAAAAAGTAAAAAAATAAGTCACATTTTATTCTGATTTGTCGAAAAAAATGTGATTTTCTATTTTCACAAAAGTTAAATGTTAAAAGTATTTCTGGAAAAAAGAGGAAACCCTTTTGTCTAGAAATATTTTATTCTGTTATTCAAATAAATATTGACTTTTGAATAAAATAATTTTCATTTAAATCAAATAAATTGTATTTCAACTAATAATTTCAGTATTTAAAGTAGATATGAATTGAACTATTTTATTCATTTAAATAAAAATTATTTGATTCAATGAAATATTTCATTTATAATCAACAAGTAATCTGTTATTTTAATCAAATAAGTTTTTTCGCAGTGAAAGTTTTTGTAAAATTTAATTATTTCCAAACAAATTTTTGATATTTCTTAACATTTTTCTTTAAAAAAGCTCGATTAATTTTCAAACTTTTAATAATATTTTTAAAGACATAAAATTAAATTTAATAATAAAAATTTAATTATTTTTAAAAAGTGCAATTGAGGCCTTGGATCTAATAACTCGCCCGACGCTCGGAGGAACGCGCAACTGCCAGTCAGTGAGCAGTGAGCGCCTCTGGGCCACTCACTGCTACCCGACTGGTATTAGCGCGTGGCTTCGAGCGTCGGGCGAGTTATTGGATCCAAGGCCTCAATTGTATATTAAAATTCAATTATTATAGATTTTTTGACTGTAAGTAATTTAATTCAAAAGTTTAACCATTTTTAAATTAAATACCATCAATTTATTTGTTCCATTTCTAATATCATCCATAATTGAAATTTTCAAACAATTTTTAATTAAAACCATCTGAATTTTTATTATACTTCTATAAATAAATTGATACTGTAACTTATGAAAAATTCAATTATTTTATAGAATTTTAAACTTGAATTTGGCTGTAAATCAATTACCTATTTTGAATTATTAACTTTTTTAATGTTTTTTGAGAATTGAATTTCTCAATTATAAAAAAAGAAAGTTGACTTAAAATTCAATTGTTTTCAATTCAATTTTATGAAATTTCGATTATTCGGAAGTTTTCTAATTAAATAATATATGTTCAAAAATTCAGCAAATTTAAAAAAAAATTTAATTAAAATTTTTTAAGATATTTAAGTTTTTTTAGAATATTACATTTATTTTCTAGATTTTTTTAGTAAAATTCTCCTATAAATCATTTCTTAGTTTTCGAAAAGTTCTTTAAAATTTTAATTACTTAACAAAAAGAAAGTTCATTTAAAATTTGTCAAAAATTATATTTTTTTAATTAAATTTTAAAAAATTTTTATTAGTTGAAAGTTTTTTAATTATTAGAATAGATGTTCAAAAATACAACATATTTTCAATTAAAATTTTTCAAAAAACTAAGTTTTTTAGAATTTATAAAATTAAAATTACTGAATATTCAAATTTTTAAAAATTTTAATTTGACACCTTTTGAAATTGAATAATTTCCAAAAAATTTTGTTTCTACAACTTTTCTAATATTCAATTACCTTATAGAATTTTTAACTAAATTTCTTCTCAGAATAAATTTTTTTTTTAATTTTTAAATAGCTTTTTCAAAGATTTAAATTTAATTAACAAAAAAGTAAGTTCATTAAAATTCATTAGAAATTCAATGGTTTTCAATTTAATAAAATTTATTTGAAAATTTTTAAGTTTCATGTAAAATGTTTGAAAATTTTAATTTTCAGTAACTTTAATTAAAAATCCTAAAGAGCTTCGATTATTAATTTTAATTTACAATTAGATTTAGAGAAGAAACTCTAAATAAATTTTTTTTTAATTTTCAAAAAGTTCAAGATTTTAATTGCTTAAAAGACAAAAAAGCTCACTTAAAAGTTGTCAATAAGTCAATTATTTTGAATTCAATATTACGAAATTTCAATTATTCGCTAAAGTTTTTTTTATTAAATAATAATTATATATTATTTAAAAAACTCTTCTAATATTTAAATTATTTTTTGAATTTTTAAAAAAAATTCATCTCGAAATTAATTATTTTTAATAATGAAAGTTGATCGGGAATTCAATTATTTAAATGAAAAAAATCAATTTTTTTAAATAAAAACTGCGCAATAATTTAAGGTTTTCAGTATGTATTTTCAAAAAACAAAAAATTAGAACTTCTGTCGCATTTCTAAAAATCGGAATTCCTACAAAAGAATTAATTAAAAATTCCAGGTTGATCTTCAGAAAATTCTACCAAGAATTACTGCAAAAAGGAAATAATGAGTCTTTACAGGAAAATATTTGACTATAGTTATTTTTTGTACTATGTCGAAAAGTAACTTTTTATCAAAATAAGGCCTGAAATAGTCATTAGTTTATTCTTTATAATAAAAATTAACATTTTATTTATTTATTGACAAAGTCTACACTAAAAAAAATTTATTTGATTCAAATAACCGATTACTTGTCTATTATCAAATAAATATTTACTTGAATAAAATCATTTTTATTCGAATCAATAATTTCAGTATTTGAAGCAAATACAATTTAACTGATTTAAATAAAAATTATTTAATTCAAGTAAATATTTATTTGATAATAGGTAGACAAATATTTAGTTATTTTAATCAAAATTTTTTTTCAGTTCAATTTGGTCTTGTAATTATTTTTACGACCGAAAATTTTCAAAACAAAATCTCACAAGATTGGAAATTAACTTTTTGTAATACAGTTTATTTGAATTTAAACTAATTAAATTTTAATTTTATTGAAATTTAGAAAAAAAATTTGGCGCAACTGATTTTAATTTAAATTAGATGAATTTCATTTTTGTTGAAATTTAAAAACAACGTATTTTGGTGCAGCAAATTTGAATTTTTAATGTTTGAAATGACTAATTTAAGTGAAGCATTAGTTAAGTATTGATGATTTTTAGAGAAAATCGGCAAATTGGATTTTGGAATAAGATGATTTTTCTTAAATAAGACAAAGTTGAATGTTGTTTTTTTGCAAATTTATTGGATTATTCTAAAATTATAAAGAATTCTCCAATTTCATTGTTTAAATTAATCTTCTTCTTCTTCAGCTGCTGCTCCACCACTTCCCTTGCGCATATTCTTCCTCTTTACACGTCCAGGGCGACCACCACCGAACGGCGATTTCAATGAGAAGTCAATATGCTTCTGAGAATCAAGTCTCACCACGAAAGAAGGTATGTTCACCACTTGTTTCCTCACTCTAAAATAGAAAAAAAAATTTCCATGAATATGCATGTTCAGTTAATTTTTTTAGGTCCAGAAAATTTATTTTTCTCTTTTTCATATTTTGGAATTATATTTATTAATTTTGCCAAAAAGAAAAAATAATTCGAAACTTTCTACTTTAGAATTTCTTCCACTTATTCATTTGAATTCAGTTTTTCGAAATTTATAAAATTAAACATGTAGTAGAATTTTATTAGATTCTTTTGAATTTAATATTTTTTCTTTGGTTTGAAAATAAAAATTGAAATTTTTAAATTTGTCAAATAAATACATTTAGTGAAATACAAATTAATTCAAGAAAGTAATACAAAAGTTACTTTTTTTAAATGTCAATACAAAAATGAAAGAAAAACAAAATTAGACATTTTTGTTTTTAAAAAAACCAACGAAATATAAATTAAATATATAGAAATTTGGTAAAGTAGACAATTCTCTAAATAAAAAATTGCAATAAATGAAAATTATTTTTAAAAACAAATTTTAACTTTTCAAAAAATGTATCATTTCTAAAATATGAAAACCAAGAGAGAAAAAATTTTTAGTTTTAAACAAATTAACGTATTTAATTATAGATTTTTGTCATAATCATAAACGGAAAAGTGGAGTATTTGAAAAAAAATTTTCTTTGTTTCCAATAACTAAAAATTTGATTACAAACACGATGAAAAAGCAACTACCTCCAAGTTTTATATACAGAAATTTTTTTGTAAATTTCTCCCCAATTTTTAATACTCAGAAATGCAATTAAATTGAAAATTTCAATCGGGTAAGAATAATATAAAATAAATTGAACTTAGTCAATAACAAAATATGAAAAATTACTGTACCAAGATCAAAGGGCAACATAAACTCCACACTTGTCAGACGTTAAACTTTTAATGTTTAAGTGGTCTGCCTGAAAAGCATGGACCAATTTTTATTGGTCCAGCAAATTAAACGCTCGATCACCATATTTTTCACGATCAGTATCGCCCTCACGAGCAGTTTCTAAATTATCAAAAAGAATTTTCTTTCAAAATTCATAAAGAAATGGTGAAAATTTTCATAAACTTATTTTCTATAAATGTCTCCTGATTTGAAGTCGAACGAAGAACAATCTTCGTTCGATGATTAACACAGGAATTTACTTTTGCCTTGATGATTAGAAACAATCTACTTGTGATGTAGATATTCCTTGCCCAGTACAACAAGGCAATAAGCAAATTAATTTTGTTATGAAGCACAAACCTAATGTGGCGTTGCCTAATGAGAACACGAGCATGATGAATCGACTTGGCCAAACCAAGTTTGAAAACTTGAGTCTGTAAACGTCTCTCCAAAAAGTCTTCAATCTTTAAACCAAGTACGTAATCGAGCTTCATTCTGGATTCATCCAATACTCCAATGCGTACTAAACGACGAAGTAGCGCATTTCCTGAAAAACATTTTCATTGTTAATTTCTCCAAAGTTTCAGATAAATTCGTTAATTTACTTTTTTTCAAATTTATTCAGATGTTATTCGGTTCAACAAGAATATTCAGACAAGAGGTGTCAGAAAATACAAGTATAAATATCATCACGGTAGAAAATTTATAATAGGGACAAATTTTATCAAAACTATTTTTGCTGTTAAATTTTTTCAATGTAATAATTAAAGTCAGCATAAAATTCAGGGATCACAGTAATTTTTTTCTTACTTTGAATTAGGTGGATTATTTTCTAAAGCTAGGTAACAATAAGATTTTTAAAAATTCACGCTATATGCTTTTAATATTCAATTATAATCAAAAATTGTAATTTAAATTCATTTTTAAATCAATTTTTATTAGAAAATTCTACAAGAATTCAATTATTGAAATACAAAAATAAATAATTTATTGAATAATTTAATGTTTCTTAAAATTTAATACTCATAAAGAACTTTATCAACAATTTTTTAAATAATTGAATTCATCCGGAAAATGTTATTAAAATCGTAGATATAAAAAATCATTGAATTGAGGAAATTTTTTTAAAATAATTTAAATTTTCACGAGAATTTAAAAAAATTTTGAACATAATTGAATTTCTACGAATAATTTTATTAATTTTGAAATTAATTGAATTTCAGCAATCATTATTTGTGATTTCTCCAAAATTCAATCTTTTTTAAGTGTTTTTAACTTAATTCTTTTATAAATCCATTACTTTTAATAATTAATTAAATATACATTAAAAAATTTAATTAATTTTAGATGAATTTAAATTATTAAAATTTTCCAAAAATCAAAGTTTTTTAAAATTTCTAATAAAATTCATTCAAAATTAAATTTTATAAAATTTTAAATTAAAACCTTTTGAAGTTCATCTATTGTTGAAAATTGTAAAGGTAACTCCTTTAAAATTCAATTAACCTTTAAAGTGCTAAGTGTTGGAAAATCACGCTCAGTGCTAACCCCGGTCTGTCAGACCGCTATTCCCTTTTGACAGTTTTTTTAGTCATTTATAATTTTTAAAAGACTACTATTATAAATATTTTTTACTTTTTAACAAAAAAAGTCATTTCTGTATTATGCATTTATTTATTTGATTTATTTTGTAAATGCAGTATATGAGAACTGTCAGTAAAACTAGCTGCGCGTCAAGTTGCGCAGACGTTACTCATGGGAATATACTGGAATATACTTTCACTTAAAGCTAACCCCGGTCTCACAGACCGCTATACTTCAAATATTTATTTATATTAAAAAATTTAACGAATAAAATTTTTTGAAAAAGTTGTCTCCTAACAGATTTTTATAAAATATGAAGCTTCTAAAAAGTTCAAGTTCTTATTATACTTTGAAAAAAAGTTACAAGCAAAGAAAATTTTAATAGCGGTCTGCCAGACCGGCATAGCACTTTAAAGGTTAAGTTTGAAATATTTAATTAAATAAATAAAATTAAGATTCATTTAAATATAAATTAATTAAATACTTTAACAAACTAAAATTGATTAGATTTTTTTGAAAAATTTACAAAATAACTAAAATTGGTGAAAAAATTAAAAAAAAAAAAAAGGATAAAAGGATAAAAGGTGACAGGCTGTGATCCCTGAAAATGAATAATTCAATAAAAAGTGAAAAAAATACCTTCAAAAAGACGCTTTTGATCTTTCTCTTCCAAGGTCAAAAGCTCACGAGCAGCTTTACGGATTTTTGCTAAAGTGTATTTAACTCTCCAAACTTCTCTCTTATTTCGGAGACCATATTCTCCGATAATTCGCAATTCTTGATCAAGACGCGCTTTCTCATAAGGCCTCCTGGGCGTTACATATGTCTTCGAAAAGACAGAAGGTATCCTTCCGTTCACCATTGTTCGTCAACTACAAAAATATTATCAATAAGAATCCGAATTAAAAACAATTTTTTAACACAAAAAAAATAAATTAATTCCATAAAATAGAACTCAGTTGCAGAGATTTAAAAAAAAAACGCCTGACCACGTGGCGACATTTTTTCAATTTCATAGCAAAAATTCATAAATAAATAAAATATAAGGCTTAAAATAATTAATATAATTTTTTAACATTATTCGCAATTAATTACAATTAATCACTTAACTAAAATGACTAAAATTCAATAAAAAGCACGCGAGAAATAATTGTTAGGTTAGAAAACAAAATTTCGTTAAAACAAGGAAAATAAATTATCATTAAATGTAATAATATTTTATAACGATAAAGAACATTGAAAATAGAAAAAGAAAATGAAAAAAAACTAAAAAAAGAACAAACTTCTCATAAAACTTACGCTTATTTCGCGAGACGATGAACCTCCTGCAACGATCACAATGCAAATGGCCGAGAGAGAAATCGTTTTCCGCCTTTCCGGTTCTGTTCAAACGATCGCAGCTCCCTCTACATTTTTCCCGCCAAAAAATCATAATTTTAAACTGAAAAAATTTTTATAAGGAAATTAATTTCCAACTAATATTCATAAATGGATTATTTTATCTAAAAAAAACATCTTTATCTTTTAAGGAAACTTCTAATTTAAAATATATTTTTTCTGAAGCATATCGTTTTAATTTTGTTTTAATAAAAAAATAATCAAAGAACTAATTTTAAGTGGGTTAAAATTTATTTATCAAATATTATATTTTTTTGATCGTATTACATAGATTTTTATTCTAATACATTTTATGCATAAAAAATAGATAATACTAAATACAACAAAATACTACAAAATAAAAAAAAACACAAGATTATAGCACGTGAACAATTTTTCCTGACGAAAAATTAACATTAACAATTTTAAATATTCATCAAGAATTTGTCGAAAAAAATAGTCATTTTTTAAAAATTATTTATCTTTATCGACTTCGTATTTAATATTTCTTTTTTTTTTTTTGCTTTTAATATATTATTTTGATTTGAATTTTTCACCAGGTAAAATTCTATTAGTTATTTCTTTATCAGTTTTTCTCATCGTTCTTAAAGTTAGCATTATTTAATATAAAAACAAAAAAGGAACTTTATATTAATACTACAATATTGGACCAAAGAATTAACCATTTGTAAAATACTTTATATTTTCTGTGAAATCTTCAAATTTCTCTGAATATTCATTTCTTTTCTAGAATCTCATCTAAAAAGTGGAAATCTTTATATAATATATATTGAATTGTGTTGAGCACTATGGCAGTATTAATGAATTTGTTTGTTTTGAAATTGAAGTCTTTATATCACTTTTTAATCAAATCCACAAAGTATTTTGCCTTTGAATATTCTAATTTTGTTCATTGTTTCTTTTGTTGAATCTATCATCAGTGTTATTTTTTTCTCTTTCTACAATATATATTTATATTTCTTCATATATAATTTTTCTTCATTTTTTTTGGCTGTTCTATTGGTTATCTATTCCTGAGAAAAGCGACGAATTCCTACTCTTTTTTAAAATATACTCAATAACCTTTGATTTCTGAATGTTTTTCATTTTATAATCGCACATTAGGCCATTTTTTTAAATTCAAAGGTTCTACAATTTTCACTTTTGTATGAGTAGAATTTATTTTAAAATACACTTAGTCACTAGCGACTTTTTTTTCTCTTCTATTTCCATTTTTTAAACATTTGGAAATATATTTCTAATCTTCAAAAGCCTGCTTTGATTACTATCCATCACAAAATTTTATGCTGTGAATGTATTTCTTTTTTTTTATGAAAAATACATTTTATTTAGCGGGACGTCAATTTATCTCAACTATTATTGAGAATTTAAAAGCCTCAACTATGAGGAAAAATCACGTTGTTAAAAAAATACAATAACAACTAAAATACAAAACTTAACAAATAGAAAAAAAGACTTATTTTTCATTCTAGTGAGAAGGAAAATAAAGTTTTTATAAAAACTTACAAAATCGTAAAGATAGAATTTCTTTTTCTGGCTTTTTCCAAAATGTGGAAGAAAACAAAAACATTTGGGTGAAAAAATATTTGGCGTACGTAACTAATGATTAGTCAAATTTGTAGGATCCGACCATATATGCAACCACAGTGGCGTGATCCAACTTTCCTGGCACCATTGAAATCTTATCTATTGTTTTGCGACGGCGAATTTTTTGCTCCGTTTTTGAGAGCGCAACTAATTCGCCATTCTTTTGTTGTGCGTAGTACAAATCTGTATCCTCCAAAATTCTCCGTTTGGCAGCAGTTATGCGAACCTTGAAAGAAAAAAGTTATTTATTCTTTACTTTAAAAATTTATTTTGTTTTTCCCTGACTTTTACCTGATTTCCAGACAAAATTTTGACTTTTTCCCTGACCCTAAAGAATATTTTGATTCACTCTAAAAATGATTAGATACTAAAAAAAATCTATTGCATTTATTTACGAATTTTTTTAATTGTAAAATTATTTGAAACCATCAATAACTTCATTTCTAAATCAATATTTAATCAATATTATTTTTCCACATAGGAATTAAGATTTAAAAAAATTTTAAATTCAAACCTTTTTGAAATTCAACAACTTGTAAAAGTATAATATATTTTTATTAGAAAATTATACGAGAATTCAATTATTTAAATACAAAAACAAATAATTTATTAAATAATTGAATGTTTCTTAAAATTGAATTTTCATAAAGAATTTTATCAACAAATTTTTAAATTTTTTTTACGAATTTTAATAAAATTCTTAAAAATAATTACGTTTTTTGAGAAATTCGATTAAAATTGTACTAAAAATATTTAAAATTCAGCGATGACTTTTATTGTTTATGAAAATAATTGAATCCCTATAAAAAATTTTTATTACTTATGAAAATAATTGAATTATTGCTACGAAATTTATAAAAAATTTGTAAATAATTGAATTCTTGTGAAACTTTTATTGTTTATGAAAATAATTAAATGTTTGCGTAGAATTTTATTCAAATTTTTTTTAAATAGTTGAATTCTATTGAAAAATTATTGAAAATAATTAAATTCTTGACAAAAATGTTATTAACATTTATGAAAGTAATTGAATTTTATTAAGAATTTCTTTTTAGTTTTTCAGGGTGTCTAGCGAATTATGATTTTCAAATTCCCGGCAAAATCCCGGATTTCCCGGACCTAAAACTAAATTATTCCCGGATTTATTTTTAAGACATTAATGACTATACTATTAAAATTTCATAATTTTTTAAATACAGTGGAAACTGAATTATACGAACTAATTCAGGCAGGATCTGGTTCAGATAATCAAAAGTTCAAATAATAGAAATTGCAATTATTTTTTTTATATTTGTGGATAAATGATTATTTCTGAATTATTTTGCAATACCCAATGGCATTTATGTCTTCTTTTAGATATTTACATTAAAAGTCACTGAGGTTCAACTGCAACAAGTTAAAAATATTAGGATTTATAATTAAACTTTTAATTGAAGACTTTAAAATGTTAAAAATGTATGCAACAATTATATAAATAATAATAATATACGGTCAATTCTACGTCACAAGTATATTTTATTTATAGTATATGGAGTGTATAACTCCTTTTTCATTTTAAGCCAAGTATAATAAAGTAAAGAAAAGTAAAGATTTCCTTCTTCTTCTTCTTCTTCTTCTTTACTTTATATTTTATTTATTCCTTTTAGAAAAAAGGTATACGTATCCTTTATTTTTCTATTCTATAGGGGGACCAAAATATTTTTTGCAAACTATCCTTATTATTTGTAAGTATGTATTAGATAAGTTTTCTAAATTCAATAGTTTTAGAGTTATAGATTTTAGAGTCTACTTTTAAAAATCCAAAAATTTGGTTACCTATAAAAAATGAAAAAATAGATTTACAATAATATATTTTCATCCTAATTGAAAATGTGGACTGAAATTTAACGTGAAATTGCCTATATACTTATAATATATCTTTTTTTCATTTTTGAAAAATATAAGACTGAAGGTAGTTCTCTGGCTTCTACTCTTGTAAAAATTTATTTTCTTCAAATTTTGAGGAAATGTTTCTTTTGGTGCCCTTTAAATGTGGTAAAAATTTCAAAACCCTTTGCGATGCTAAATTTTAACTTATTCAAGTTCAAACTTTCACTTGAAAGTGAAAATTTCCATGCGTTTATGTTAAAAATAAAAAATGTCAACCACAATATCTTGTTTTTTGACATGGCAAAAGGTTTTGAAGTTTCTATCACATTTAAAAGGCATCCGAAGAAATATTTCCTCAAAATTTGAAGAAAATCTATCGAAAATCAATTTTTAAAAGAGTAGCAGCCGGAGAACTACCTTAAATGGAAATTTTTTTATAGATTTTAATGAATTAGAGAAAATTTCCAAAAATTCCCGGATATTTTTTTCAATTCCCGGCAATTTCCCGGTCGAACTAAATTCCCGGCAAATCCCGGGTTTCCCGTTTTTCCCGGACGCTAGACACCCTGATTTTTATAATAATCCTGTTTATTAATAATAATTGTAATTAATAATTTCGTTATTAAATTTTATGACAATTATTAATAGAAAATTAAATTCTTTTAAACAACTATATTAATTTTCATAAATAATTAATTATTTTTGAAGAATTTCTTCAAATTTTTTGAAAACATTGTAGTTTTTTTAAAATAATTGAATTATTTAGAAAGTTTTTTTAAAAGTTTATTGAAAATAATTGAATTTAGGAGAAGAATTTTATTATTTACAAAAATAATTGAAATTTTGACGAGAATTTTCTTAACTTTTTGAACATAATTCATTTTTTGTCGAAAATTTTATTACTTTTGAAAATAACTGAATTTTAGGAATCACTTGTAACTTCTCCAAAATTCAATTTTTTAAGTGTTTTTAACTAAAATTCTTTTATAAATCCGTTATTTTTAATAATTAATTAAATATATATTAATAAATTTAACCAATTATTCAAAAATAATTAAAATTTTTTAAAATTTTTAATTAAATTCACTCAAAAATAACATTTTCTAAAATTTCAAATTAAAACCTTTCGAAGTTCATCTATTTATGAAAATTGTAAACGCAACTCTTCTAAAATTGAATTAATTTTGAAATATTTTTAAGTAAAATTATTCATTAAATAATTTCTAAGTAATAATTTTATGATAGTTCTTCAAGAATTAAGTTAGTTAAAAAGACATTATTGTCAGAAATAGAAAAAATTGAAGGTTTTGTATTAGAATTCGAGATAATTTCATAGTTTATGAGGCAAACCAAAAAGGACACCAAAATTCAGAATTTGATTATGAATTCTAAAAATTTAATTTTCTCCAGTACTTTGAATAAAAATCGCTAATTTCCCTGACTTTTCACTGAATTCCCTGACCTGTGGCAACCCTATATTAAAAAAAATTGAGAAAAATTTGCAATTTACCGAGAAATCCAAAACAAGTTCACATAATCGTTTAGCGCTATTGCAAGGTGGTCCTTTGCCGGAAACTCCTCGTTTCAAAAGATCCTCCATTCTTAATAATGTTAATTCATGCCTCTGGTACGCTTCAACCACGGGCAAATCACTGTGTATTTCACTTTCAGATCTCTGGGGATGATCCACTGATTTGCGTCGACCTTTTTGACGACTCTCCGTTCTGCCTGATCGTTCGGCATTAAAACTGCCACCGTTATTGCTTGGTAAAACGGCAAATTTACCCACCACTGGATCAAAATTATCAGATATTCCATCACTCGTGAGAAAAACGATATCACCTTGCTCCACCTCTGTCATTGACAATGTTAAATTCTTCAGTTCTGGATTGGAACCTGCAACCGGACCCAGAGCGCCAAGAGCGTCACGCATGTCCCGCATGCAATGAATATCTCGACAACCGCGCGTTATTTCTCTCACTCCTGTTTTTCTGTTTACGAAAAATAGAATTAATTAATTCAGAAGTAGAATTATTTTATTTTAAAATAGAATTATGATTTACTAGTAGAGTTTTACCTCGAGTAAACGTAGGCAAGACTGTCTCCCACATTACAAGTGCAGGCAACGTATTTTTTAGAAGAAGAATTAGAACCCGATGCAGTTTTTGGTAGTGGTAAAATAACGCAAACAGTGAGAGTTGTCAGCATGCCTTTTTCCTCGAGAATAAGTGAATGAGCTGCATGGAATGATTGAAGTAAAGCGATGAACACATCTCTTGTCGTTGAGACACCGCTATTTATCGCCGACGAAAAAAGTGCTTTGTTCAAGTACTCAATACTCCCATGAACAGCCGATCTTGCCGCGATACTTGCCTTCGGTCCTATAAATTAATTTTATTAATTAACTTTTCAAATTTTAACAGGGTTGCCACAGACATTTAATTTGTTTTTTCCTGACTTTTCCCTGATTTCCAGACAAAATTCTCACTTTTTCCCTGATCCTAAAAAATATTCTGATTCACTCTAAAAATTATTAGAAACTCAAAAAAATGTTCTATTACATTTATTTACAAATTTCATTAATTGTAAAATTATTCAAAAACATGAATAATTTCTTTTTTAAATAAATATTTAATCATTATTATTTTTCCGTAGGAATTAAAATTCTTCAATACATTCAAATTCAAACCTTTTGTTTCAAAAAAAATTTTATTATTTACAAAAATCCTAATAAAATCCTTCGCAAGAATTCAATTATTTTTAAAAAGTAGTAAATTTTCTCAAAAAAATTCAATTATTTGAAAAAATTGTAATTAAATTCGTTGCAATAATTAAATTATTTTCATAAATAATAAATCGATTATTCGGTAATTCATTTTTTAATCAATTTTTATTGATAAGTTTTATTACATATTTATGAAAATAATTAAAACTTTTCCCAAAAATTTTATTAAAATTTTTCTAAAATAATTGAATTTTAGTGAAGAATTTTATTATTTATAAAAATAATTGAATCCTTGAAAAGAACTTTGTTAAATTTTTTTTAAATAATTGAATTCATGCGACGAATTTTATAAAAATCTTTTTAAATAATTGATATTTTTCGAAAAATTTTATGAAATTTTGTATATTAAATAATTGAACTCATGTGAAAATTTTATTATGTATTTATGAAAATAATTGAATTATTTCAAAGAAATTTATTAACATTTTTTTAAATTATTGAATTCCTGTGAAATTTTAACAAGAATTTTATTCAAGTTTTTTTAAATAATTGAATTCCTGCGACGAATTTTATAAAATTCTTTTTAAATAATTGATATTTTTCGAAAAATTTTTTGAAATTTTTATATTAAATAATTGAATTCCTGTGAAAATTTTATTATTTATAAAAATAATTGATTTATTTCGAAGAAATTTATTAAAAATCTTGTAAATTATTGAATTCCTGTGAAATTTTGCCAAAAATTTTATTAAAGTTTTTAAAAATAATTGAATTTAGTAGAAGAATTGTATTATTTATAAAGATATTTGAAATTTTGACGAGAATTTTTAAAAAATTTTTGAACATAATTGAATTTTGGAGAAGAATTTTATTATTTTTAAAGATATAATTGAAATGATCAGAATTTTTTTTAAATTTTTGAATATAATTGAATTTTTGCGAAAAATTTTATTACTTTTGAAAATAATTGAATTTTTGTAATTATTTGTAACTTTTCCAAAATTCAATTTTTTTTAGTATTTTTAACTAAAATTCTTTTATTAATCTAGTATTTATGAAAATTGTAAAAATGATTCATTAAATAATTTATAAGTCATAATTTTATGATAGTTCTTGTAAAATTAAGTTATTTAAAAAGAAATTATTGTCTGAAATAGAAAAAATTTAAGGTTTTGTATTAAAATTCGTGGTAATTTCATAGTTTACGACGCAAACAAGAAAACATCAAAATTCAGAGTTTTTTCATGAATTTCTAAAATTCAATTTTTTCCAGTACTTTTACTAAAAATCCCTGACTTCCCTGACCAATTTTACTTTCCCTGACTTTTCCCTGAATTCCCTGACCTGTGGCAACCCTGTTTAAATTTAATAGAGTTGCCACAAGAATTTTATTTTTTCCCCTGACTCTTAACTAATTTCATAACAGAATTTTGATTTTTTCCCTGATCTCTATATAAAAAAATTCAAAACAATTTCAATTAACTGTAAAAAAAATAAATTTAACAAACAAAGTGATTTAAAACTTAAATGGTATCTGGTTGATTCGGATAGATCGATAATTTTACTTTCTAATATAATTACAAATTTTGATTTCATTCAAATTTAATTAATTGAATTTAACTTAATTTAAAAATTTTAAATATGTTCGGTACTTTAAAAAAATGGAAAAAATAATTCACCCCAATTGACACCATCGGCCAATGCGAGAATAGCAGCATTTGGTCGAGCGATCATTCCAAAGCAATCAGCAATCGGTTCCCCATTATTACAATCATTGGTGGGATTTTTTTCATAAAGAGTAGTCGCTATTCCGTAAGCCATGTCATGCGAATTAAACCAATCAGACACTCCTGCAATTTCTCCATCAGATGTCATACCTAAAAAAAGCATTCATTAGTTTAATAGAGGAAACATTTTCATTCTTGTCACACTGAAGCAAAGAAAATTTCAATTCTTTTCTAATTACGTCAAATTTCTTCAAATTAAATCAACATCATGCAATATTTCAAAATCAAACCAAAAATACATTTTCCACCTCAATGTAAATTAGAATTAATTCATTTTTACTGCAATAACTAAAAAGAAAATTCGACAGAATAAAAACGGATAATCGATGAAGAATATAGTTTCACAAAAAAAAAAGAACTGAAAAAAATTTGATAGATTATCAAGATTTGATAGATAGATAAAAAAAAAGTTCCACAATAGGATAAAAGTGCAAATTCTCCGAGTTATGAAAAATTGAAGTCCATTATGAACTCTTAGTTCGTAAATTCACGAGCTAAACATGCACGTGCTTGTCTCAAAAAAAAAAAATATATTGAAAGCTATATCTACACAATATCCAATATCAAGTTCAGATAAGTCTATAACTCAAGGTGAATAATAGCCGCAATATAATGCAAATCAAAACTACTGTAAATCATAGATAGACAGTATTACCAGCAGGAAAATATTGTTCAAAACTGAAAATTCAATTTGCAATTGAGATAAAAAAATAAAATATAAAGCGATGACTAGAGTATTTTGCGCACAAATAGGCAAAAATTTACGCAAATAAAATACAAATAAATTTATTAAACTTTGAACTAAATTATTTTACAGGGGATTTTTTTTCACGGCTTCTTTTAGATTACAGACAAAATTTAAAAACTTATCTTTAATGTTGTATTTATTGTTTTTTAATTAAGATAAACTTTTATTTAAATAAAATGTCAATTTACAAAAATTTTTAAATTCTATTTGCTTTTATATTCTATATTCTTTTAATTCTATATTATATCTATTACAAAAACGTTTTCAACACTTATCCATAATTAAATTAAAAAGTTAATTTGATTAGTATTATTATTATTATTATCAATTAATCAATAATTTAAATTTTAATTCATTCAAAATTAAAAATGAAATTTTTTGAAAATCTAATTTAATAGTTAATTAATATACCCATGAAAAATAACTAATTGTAAAAGTAAAAAAATTAATTAAACTAGAAAAGGTCAAAGAGTTTCCATATCTAGATTTCTAGTTTAGTTCTGGAAACCAATTAAACTAAAAAGTCAATTCAATAAATAATGTAATTAAATAATAAAAATGTTAATAATAATTTAAAATTATTATTATTATTATTATTATTATTATTATTATTTGCATTATTTTTATTTTTGATTATTCAAAAAAAAAAATTGAATTAAACTTTCAAAAATTCAGTTTTTTAAAGATATGCTGGCTACCCTGTGTGAATTCAATAAGATTGTCAAAATGTCTAATAAATTTATTTTAATGTTTCAATTAAAAGAAAATTACTTTACGATTAAGAAGGAAATATTTACAATATCGAATATTAAATTCTTAAAAAGCAACTAAAACGCAATGCCCATTTTTGTTTACGATAAATAGCAATCAGAAATTACGAAACAACAGATCTTGAGGCAAGAGACGAAGATCGTATAACACAAATGCGAGCACCTTTATTATTGAATTTTTTAAATGGAGCCGGTGCACTTTTTGATTTTCTAAGAGGATTCATTTCATTGGCAAACTCTGTAGGCGGCGGTATAATATTACATCCCAATTCTCCTTCACTTGAACTATTGAGTGTATCGTTTGACATATTCTGCAACGTAAAATGCACTTCACGCTCACTCAAATTACAGTTCAATCCATCCTTTAATGAATCCTCAACTTTTTGTTCAATTTTTGTTTCGAAATTTTCAATAATCTCCATCGATTGACCCTGTTTTATTTCATCACATTCAAATTGCACATTGTTTCTTGGATAATTAATGTTGTCTTTTAATGTTGTCTCTAAATTAGACGATGTCTTTTGATTATCGACTTGCTCGGAATTATTGCTCAATGAATTATTATGTCTTTCATCTGAATCACTATCGAGATCAAGTGAATTTGGTTTGTACTCTTTAAAATAGATTTTATTTTTTATAAGATTTGTCTGTAAATTCTTTGGTGCTGGCTCATAAAGTTTACCGGCTGCTCGTATCTTCACTCGACTGTTGTCAATCGGATAAATTGAAGTGTCCGCTGTACGTAATGTTCGCCATCGATCGTGGCCTGGGGAAAATATTCGATCCCGTGTTTGTTGTAAACATTTTATTTATTTCATCGATTTATTAAACTCGGTAGTAGAAAATTTTCATTTATATGCAATTATGTACAAAAATTACATTTTATTCTAATTCTAATAATTAAATGGGAAATTAAATTAAAAAATATAAAAAATTTATTTGAATAAAAATTTGGAAAAAAATGTTTTTTTTAAATTCAGTTTAAATCGGAATTATTTTGTGTATGAAAATTTCGAGTGTTTTCATTTTCTTTAGATAAATTATCAATTTTATTATTAATAAACAAATGTGCAGAGAATAGTGACTTATAATTATCGCAGGCCTCGGATCGACTTTAAGGCGCAAAAAAGTCGCTTTAGTCGATTAAAAGTACAAAAAAAGTCGAAAAAATCGTTTACTTTATTCAGTGTTGTCACAAAAATTTTATTTTGATATCCCTGACTTTTCATTAATTTCTAGATTCAATTATTCAAAACTTGAATAATAGTGAAATAAAATTTAAAAAATTTCAATTCCAAACCTACTTTCTATAAATTACAACTATAGTCCTAACAAAAATTCAAGTTTTTACAATAATTGTATATTAAAATAAATATTTTTAAAAAATTAAAAATTTAAAAATTTTTTAACATTTTTTGAAAGATAATAGTTTTTCAATTATATACAATTGAAAAATTTCCAAACCATTGAAATTTAGTAAAATCTATTTGAATTATTGAAAAATATAAAAAAAAAATAATCAAATTTTTGAAGAATTTTAATTATAAATAGGTATGAACATTTATTTCTCCGTAATTTTAATAAGTCTAAAGAAGGAAATTTAAAAAAAATTTAGTTTTTCTTATTTAAGGATAATTAAATCTTAAAAAATTATGATAAAACAATTCTAAGAATTAGTTTTTTAAAAATATTTTAATGTAATTCTTCGAAAATAATTGAATTTATTAAAAGAATTTTTGTATAATTTAAAAAAACTAATTCATTTTTTGAAGAATTTTAGTTAAAAATTTGGAGAATGATTGTTTTCTCCAAAATGTTAAAAATAATTCTAAAAAATTTTAAGGTTATTATTTTTTGTATGTAGGTATTTGAATTTGCTGAAATATGTAATTGATAATATTGAACATAATTGAATTTTAAAAAATTAGAATCAAAAAATTAAAAAAATTAGTTTTTTTTTAAAAATATTTTAATTTAATTTTTAAAAGCCAATTTTTATTTTTAAATTTACACTTGACGATTTTTCATTAAAATTTTTGAAAATTTAATTATTTTCAAAATTTACAATTAAAATTCCTCAACAGTTGATTTTAAAAAATTGGAATAAAATAGTTGAAAGAAATCAATTATTTTCAATTAAATTTGACAAAATTTCAATTATTCAAAATCTTTTTAATTCTATATGTATTTCGAAAATTTAATTAGAAAAATTATTAAAAACTAATTCTTGAAAGATTTGTCTAATTATTTTTCACACTATAAAAATCGAAATAAGTTGCATTTTATTTCTAAAAATGTGGTATTTTGTTGCAATATTTGGAAGAAAAGTCGAAAAAGTAGCAATTTTTAAAAATTAGTCGAAAAAAGACACATTTATTGAGAATAGTCGAAAAAAGTCGAGAAATTAATATTATCCGAGGCCTGTTATCGATATTTCTTTAAGAAGTGAAAAAGAAAAATTTAATTTCACGATATTTGATGGAATAATTATTTTAAAATGTCGTTTAAAATTAATTACCGGATCCGTTTTGGTCGGGTTGGTCCAAGATGTCAATGTAATCCACATCCGGATCACTGATGCTTAAATGTCTTTGTTTTAAATTGACTGTTGTAAGTCCTCGATCAGGACCTGTTATGGCAGCGAATTCTTTCTCATTCTTATCATAATCTCCTAATGGTTTCGTAGGAAGTTCTTCGGGACTCCGACCGTGTATAATCGGTGGACCCTCTTGTTTCTTCTCCAATCTAAACATTTCATTATTTTATAAACAAAATAGTTTTCAAAATCATTGAAAATCAAAGCATTGAAAAATTTCCAAATTTAAAAATTTCAAATACAATATTTGTAAAATTTGTATATTTCAGAATGCATTTTAAAAGATCAAATTAAAAAAAAAATTTTAAAAGAAAAAGAATAAAACGAAAATACATTATATTTCCTGTGAAGCAATTGTCAATTTATGTATCAAATTGTCCTAATAAAAAAATATGAGCACATCGTACGTGACGAACTAAATCAAAACAAGAGAATAAGAATAATCAATCAAAACCATTCTGCCGATTGCTAAATAATACTCACCCATTTAAGTATCGAGAAATAAAGCAACCTCCCACGAGTTCTTGTTGTGTTGTTTTAGGATATTGTAAATTTTGATGGTCCCCTTGGCCGATACTTTCAACAGCAGCTGTCAAATTGCTTATTGATAATTGACGCATAAATCCCACAACTTTTTTTCTTAAACTCGGCATTTTTTTTATTAATCGAAAATATTTTATTCCTCAATTTTTTCTTAAAATAATAACACCAATTGTCTACCTGTGTCTACCCGAGTCGTAATGCGTACAACCAATAAATGACATTTTTTTTTTATTTTTCTGTTATCTGAACATGAAACAAACAAAGAACTTTTTTATTAACCAATATAGAAGTGGAAATTTACCTTAGAATTGATATTTTTTCTTTATTCAATTAGATAGAAGGTGAAATACTTACTATTTTAAAATCGATGATACAAAATTGGTGTTTCTTTTACAAAATAAACAACACACGACAAAGAAAAGAAAACAATGTATTTTACTTTTTTTTGGAGCAAGGCACTACACGCCCGTGACAGTGAATGCTTAAAAATTTGTTGAATAAATTATTCTCCCATGTTTCGAAAGTAAGATAATGTTGTGATTTTATACAGGGACATTTTTTTCCGCCTTTCCTTCACTTCACATGATTATATTATGCATACACTGTACTCATTTATTACGTATTTATTAAGTTAGATTCTTTATAAACACTGGCATTGTTATGTGTGTATGGGTCAATTGTGAACGTGAGGTTATGTGCTTGAAATGTGTGTCAATAATGTATTGACTATATATATACGTACGTGAATATACTTTCATTTCAAAAATACAATATTTTCAATTTAATACACATTTTTATATTAATACTTAAATTGTAATTCCTTTTTCAGATAATAATTATTGTTTACATGATTTACGTTTTTTAAATTAAATAATAATAAAGGAATTACAGAAATTGGTTTTTTAAACCAGGAGTGTATCAATTGGAGTTTGATCCAGCTTCTACAATTGCAAAAATTTATTATTATTTTTGAAGATCGGTTTGGAAAAAAAATATTGTAAATGAAATACTATGAAATATTTAACATATCACTAAATAAATATTTATTAATTTTTATGATTTTTATATTTAAAATTTTTTTTTATAATCATGTAATAGTGAAAGATTATATACGCTCCTGGTGTCGGACATTTTGTTTTTTGTCGTAATTTCAAATCTTTCAATTTTCAAATCGTTGAAAGAATGTTATAATTGGTTATAATTTGAAAAATGAGAAGTTAAAAACAAATTTTGAAAATTGTAAAAAATCAGTTTACAAATAGAAAAGATAGTTTAAATTTTTGGTAAAAAATGAAAATATTTTTTTTAAATCTTCAGTTGGGTATGTGTGGGTTTTACAACCCCGTGAAGAGTTACAAGATTTTCCATTAACTGATATAACCTCAAAATTCCTCTTTCTCGATTGATCGATGTTTATGGAGAAGCGTCATAATTTGCACATGTGCACATTTGTCACATGGTTTTGAAAAAAAAATTCGAAAGAAACGAATTTCAAAAAATTGTGAGAAAAGTTTAAAATGACAGCTTTAGCTTTCAGTAGCAATGAATCGGCAACATTAGAAAGAACTGTTGATGTTGAGGGTGACATTGAAATAACACCAGATGAACTCGTGCCCGAGAAATATGATTTGCAAAAATGTATTACCTGGATTCAGAAACAAAAACTTGAAAGGGTATGTTTATTGTTTATAAAGATAAATTATAAAATTTATTAATTTCTGCTATTTTTTTTAATATTTTCAATTGTTTAATTTTATTGAAAATGAAATACAATTTTCTGTCGATTATTTAGAATAGAAAAACCATAAAAAATGTGACTTCTCCGCCATTCAAGATAGGCGGTCTTGCACGTACAGATCGTACAGATGTCTATAGGGTAGTAGAAAATACTAGAATTCGAATTACGAGAGAAAGAGAGAATGTAAAGGGTGTCTTAAAAAAAAACAGGAGTAGGAAGGTATTTAATTGTTTGTTTATTTGCAGGTGTGTTTACAGTTACCGGACTGTCTTTTGCAAGATTCGTTTCCAATTGCAACGTATTTAGAAGAAGGTTTAGGGCAAAAGGTGTACATTTTAGGTGACACATCCTACGGTAGTTGCTGCATAGACGAAGTAACCGCACAACACGTTGGTGCCGATGGAATAATACACTTTGGACATGCTTGCTTAAGTCCCACAACACGTTTACCTATTTATCACGTCTTACCAAAACAGGAAATTGACGTGCAAGAATTCTGCAAGGAATTCGATCGATTCTTTGAGGATCGTAACAAGGATTTATTATTTTTCTACGACGTATCCTACGCTCATGCAATTGGTAAATTTTACTTTTTGCAAATGTACAACCTTCTTTCAATTAAAAATTTTGTATCTATAGAATCTCTTTCTTTTCAGAAAAAATTTACGAATCTCTTAAAGGAAAATTCAAAAATTTGCTCCTGACAAAACTGAATTGCATTTCAAATGTAGAATATACTGATCGACAAGATGATGAAAACGATATAATTTTAGGCCGAAGTTTCCATAATGACTGTAAAAATGGAGATTATGAAATGTTTTTCTTAGGACCAAGTAGAAAAACTTTAGCTAACTTGGCAATGACAATTCCAGCGAAAAATTGGTATTATTCCAATGGTGGTGGAATTAAACAATTTGAATTTTTCAATACTCCTTGGTTAAAGCGACGAAGATTTCTCGTTGAAAAACTTAAAGATGCAAAAATTGTCGCAATTGTGGTTGCAACATTAGGAATAAAAAATTACTTAAATATAATTACTTCTCTTAAAAGTACGCTGAGAAAAGTCAACAAGAAAACATATACATTATGCGTTGGAAAAATAAATCCGCCAAAACTTGCAAATTTTCCAGAGGTATTGTATTGTTAGCGTTTATTTTTCAATTAAAAATTTTTTTCTTACAGGGTTGCCTCAAGTCAGGGAAGTCAGAGAATTTAGGGAAGAGTCAGGGATTTTTATTAAAAGTACTGGAAAAAATTAAATTTTAAGAATTCATAAAAAATTCTAAATTTTCGTGTATTTTTTGATTAACTCTTAAACCATGCAATTACCAGGAATTCTAATACAAAACCTTCAATTTTTTCAATTTCTGACAAAAATTCCTTTTTAAATAACTTAAATCTTGAACAACTATCATAAAATAAATAAATTATTTAATGAATCATTTTACTTAAATATTTCAAAATTAATTGGATTTCAAAAGAGTTGTGTTTACAATCTTCATAAGTAGATGAATTTCAAAAGATTTTAATTTAAAATTTTATAAAAATTTAATTTTGAATGAATTTAATCAGAAATTTTAAAGAACTTAAATTTTTGAAAATTAATTTTTTATTAATGAATTTAATTATAAATTTTTAGGAATTTTGATTTTTGAAAAATTTTAATTATTCTTGAATAATTGTTCAAATTTATTGATATATATTTAATTAATTATTAAAAATAATGGATTTATAAAAGAATTTAAGTTAAAAACACTTTTAAAAAGAATTGAATTTTAGAGAAGTTACAAACAATTGAAAAAATTCAATTATTTTCAACAATTTAAACAAATTCTCGTAAAAATTTCAATTATCTTTATAAATAATTAAATTCTTATCTGAAATACAATTATTTTCAAAAATTTTAATAAAATTCTTGTCAAAATTTCAATTATTTTAAAAAATTTTCCTTAATTCAATGATTTTTAATCATTAATACAATTTTCCAAAAGAATTCAATTCTCATAAATAATAAAAATTTTACAGGAATAAAATTATTTTCAAAATAATTTTAAAAAAATTTTACGAAAGGATTCAATTATTTATAAAAAATTTTAATAACATTTTTCGAAAGAATTCAATTATTTAATATTTATTTTCAATAAAACTTTCTAAAAAATCCAATTATTTAAAAAAATTGTGATTTATTTCTTTGTAAATTTCAATTATTTTAAAAATTCTCAATTGAAATTATTTAAAAAATAACTGCAATATTTTCAAGAACTTTGAAGAAATTCTTCAAAAAAATTCAATTATTTATGAAAACTAATAAAGTTTAAAAAAATTTAATTTTCTATCAATAATTTTCATAAAATTTAATAACGAAATTTTTAATTACAATTATAAATAAACAGGATTATTTTAAAAACTAAAAAGAAATTATTCTTCATAAAATTCAATTACTTTTAAACATTTTAATAAAATTCTTGGCAAGAAGTAAATTATTGTTAATAATATTATTTGGAAGAATTCAATTATTTTCATAAATAATAAAATGCTTTGCGAGAATTCATTTATTTTCAAAAATTTTTTGATAAATATTTCACAAGAATTCAATTGTTTTCAAAAATTTTATTCAATTTCTTTTTAAGATTTTAATTATTTTCAAAAATTTCCCCGAATTCAATGATTTTCAATTCATAGATAATAAATAATAAAATTTTTACGGGGATTCAATTATTTTCATAAATAATAAAATTCTTTTTAGGAATTCAATTATTTTGATAAATAATAAAACTTATCGCAAAATTTCAATTATTATTATGTAATACAATTTTCATTGAATTCCTAGAAAAATGTAATTATTTTGTAATTTGTTGATAAAATTCTTTATGAGAATTCAATTTTAAGAAACATTCAATAAATTATTTATTTTTGTATTTAAATAATTGAATTCTCGTAGAATTTGCTAATAAAAATTGATTTAAAAATGAATTTAATTTAAAATTTTAGATAATAATTGAACATTAAAAGCATTATAGCATGGATTTTTAAAAATAATTGAGAAGGTTTCAAATTAAAATCTTCGAAAATATGAATTTTTCATACTTTTAACTAATAACTCTGTAGAATTAATTTTCTTTTAATTCCTATGTAAAAATAATAATGATTAAATATTTATTTAAAAAAGAAGTTATTGATGTTTTTGAATAATTTTACAATTAAAAAAATTCGTAAATAATTGTAATGCAACATTTTTTTTTTGAGTATCTAATAATTTTGAGAGTGAATCATAATATTCTTTAGGGTCATGGAAAAAGTAAAAATTTTATCTGGAAATCAGGAAAAAGTCAGGGAAAAACAAAATTGAATTTTTGTGGCAATCCTGTAAAAGATATGAATTATCAATTTCAGATGGACGCATTGGTTGTGATTGCTTGCCCGGAAAGTGAAATATTCGAATCTAGAGACTTTTTAAAGCCACTGTTGTTACCTTACGAGGTAGATTTAGCTTTCAATAGTTCGCGAGAATTTTCGCAAAACTATTGTATGGACTTTAATCAAATATTACCTGGTGGGATGAATTATGTGAATTTTGAAGCATCAGACGAACCGGATATTTCATTGATATCCGGAGGTATTCGTGGCTCTAATCAAGATGAACCTTCTTCATCAGAAATGAATACAATAGCATGTAAATCTGACGGAACAGTGGCAATAGGTAAAGCTGGTGCCAATTTTCTACAAGCAAGAAGCTGGAAGGGTCTTGAACAAAGATTAGGTCAGGACGAGGTCAAATTGTCGGTACAAGGACGAAGTGGAATTCCCGTAAACTATGAAAACGAGCCCATCAATAAAACAACGTGAGTTTTTTTTTAATTTTTATCTCTTTTTATTCATACACAACTGTGTACGTAAAACATTCATTAAAAAAAACATCAACAAGAATCATTTTATCCTGACTGATAAACATTCACTTAAGAAACTTATAAATTATAAAGAACTTAACGTAGAATCGTATCAACTTCTTACAATATTTTCTACAAAATTATGTCTTTAAAAAATGAGATTTCAATTTGAGAGAGAATCATTTTCTAAAATTTAATGAAAATGTCATCAAAACTGTTGTCCGTCGAAAGTTTTTAATGTTTCACAAAAAAAACTTCAATACTCATCTTAAGTATAATGCCGGAGAGTATTAAATAAATGTTTTCAATTGAAATATCTTAAAAATCTATTGTGACTTTCAAACGTTCCTCACGTTCGTTTGGTTTAAATATTATAAATATTGAAAGTATACAGAAATATAATCGACGAGTGTATGTGTATGGGAAATATAGATATAATGGCACAAAATATAAAAATAAATATAAAAAATTGTTAAACAATGAAGAAAATGATCTTAATAAGTTGGACAGAAATTTTGAATTCAAAATTTTGATGAGGGTGAAACATTTCCAATATGGAAATTATAAATACAATATAAAATGCATCTCAATCAAAAATTCAAAAAATGATGCATTTTTTTAATTTTGATGCATTAATTAGTTTTATATGCATTGATATATAATTTTATGCATAACGGTTAATATGTGATGATAATAACAATAATAATATAAATAATCATACGTCCGGCTATGATTTTTCACTAGGTATTTGAAGAATTCGATATATAATGATATATAAATGGTAATCAATAATCTCCATTCACAACATTAACATTCATTGTGATTTTTTGACTTATCAAAATATTTGGTCCTCTAATATGATCGGAATTACTTTGTGAATCCGTTGTTTCGGAAGTAGAATCATTTGATTCTGAGATCGTTGAGACTGCTGTTGGACAATTTCGTTGAACTAAAACTGCATTCATTGCGTTGTCTCTTGTTTCGGAATTAAATTGAGCGAATGGTCGTGTAGGTACAAGTTCGGCTGTTTGCCTGAAAAGAGAAAAAAATATTAGGTTTCAAATTAGAATATCCGATTTTTTTATGAAGTTGGATTTTTTTCTTAAAACGATTTTTATTTTAAAGAACTTCTAAAATTAATAGAATTTTTTATTTCATATTCTCAAATCTATGAAAGTTTTCCTTCACAGAATTTTTAATGTCCAAACATTTTATCCTGAAAATTATTAATAAAATAATTCTTTATAAAGTACCTACATTATTTTATTAACGAAAGTTTTGTTCTATAAAATTTGGATTTTATGTTTTTTTATTATTTATTTTACTTATTTTTACATTACCTATATATATAAATCTATTATCAACCCGAATTTTATTTTTATAGTTTAATTGCTACCCGAAAAATTTTATTTAATCCAATTTTTGTTTAGTAGAATTTTTATTAATAATTGAATTCGTATTTTTTATGCTTTTCCATTCCGAATTGCAGCGAAACTTAATATTTTTAATTCTCTAATTATTGTTTTCTTGTTTGTCACCATTTTTAATTACTTTAAATTTTGCATTTAAATTTTTTACATTTTAAATTTCGAATTAGTTTTGTTTTACAGTGGATAATTTTACATAGAATATTTACAGAACACAAATATTTTGACACGGATTATGAAATTCAATTTTACTTTACATTAATTTTTAATTTTTATTATTTTTTTTAGTTTTTTAAAATCTTTTCAAATAAAATTTCTGATTAATGGAAAATTGTGAAAATAAAAATTCAGCTAAATAAAAATTATATTGAATAAAAATTTTATTAATAAAAAAAAAAATTCAATAACATAGAAACTCAATTAAGTGAAAAATTTGATAAATGAAAATCCTGTTAATTAAGAATTCAATTAATTAAAAATGTTAAGTAAAATTTGGTAAATGAAAATACCGTTAATTAAGAATTCATTTAAATAAAAACTTTGTTTGGTAAGTATTGTATTAAACGGAAATTCAGTTTAATAAAAATTCCATTTTAAATAAAAATGTAATAAAATGAAAATTGAGTTAAAAGAAAATTTAATTTAGTGAAAATTCAGTTAAATGAAAATTCGGTTAAAATGAAAACTTTTTGATATGAAAATGATGTTAATTATAAAGTTTGCTTTATAGAATTTGTTTATGTATAGAAATTTGACCTAATGAATTTTGAAACACTGAAACTTGTGACTTCTTCAATGAAAACTTTAGAAATTGCCGCAAGTGATATACCTCCAAAAGTTATCTTTACTTACTCAGGAGTCCAGGAACTTGGATTAGTGTCCTCCTCTGGCGGTATTGGTTCTGGAGTTAAAACTTGTTCTGGAATCTCCTGAGGTTCATTATAATTAGGATTCGTCTTAATCCAATCTGGACTGTGAAAAGGCGTAGCAGCCACTAATTTATTTTTATCCATATATTTGTCATTATTGTTCATAATGGCAGTGTAGTGTGGTGATCCTTCTTTATAAGACCCTGAAAAGTGAAAAATAATAAGTTAATAACTCTGAACAAATATTCACTAAATTAGAGAAAAATAGAGTAAAGTGATTAATTATGCGAATTGTATTAATTACAGACCTCGGGTCGACATTAAAGCGCAAGAAAAGTCGAAAAAATCGTTTATTTAATTTAGTGTTGTCACAAAAATTTTATTTTGTATTTCCCTGGCCTTTAATAATTTCTACATTCAATTATTTTAAACTTGAATAATTTTGTTAAATAAATGTTTGAATATTACTCATTTGTTTTTCCATGGGAAATAAAATGTAAAAAATTTCAATTTCAAACCTTTTTACCTTTTGCAATTTAATAATTTCTAAAAGTTTCAACTATAACTCTTCCAAAATTCAATTATTTTTTACAATTTTAAACTAAACTTCATCTCTAAATGAATTATTTTTAAAAGTTTCCTAAAAGTTCTTCGCGAATTCAATTATTTATACACAAAATTTCAATTTCTTACAATAATTGTAACTGTAACTTTCCATGCTTTTTTTTAAGTTATTAAAGAATAATATTTTCAAAAAAAAAATTATAATAAAGAAATTCTTAAAATTAATTTTTTAAAAGTATTTAAAAATTAATTATGGAAGATAATAGTTTTTCAATATACAATTTAAAAATTTTCAAACAATTGAAATTTTGTAACATCTTTTACAAATAATTGAATTTTTGAAAAATATACAAAAAAGTCAACTTTTTGAAGAATTACTTTTTTTAAAAATATTATTTATGTAACTTTTCGAAAATCATGGAATTCAAATTTTTGTATAATTTTAAAAAACAACTAATTATGTAATTTTATGAAAAATTTTAATAAAAAATTTTGAGCACGATTGGTTTTTCCAAAATGTTAAAAATAATTCTAAAAAATTTTAGTGTTATTATTTTTTTGTATGTAATTGAATTTTCTGAAATATGTAATTGAAAATAATCAAATTTAAAAGAATTATAATGAAAAAATTCTAAGAATTACATTTTTAAAAAATATTTTAATACAATTTTTAGAAAGCTAATTTTCATATTTAAATTTACATTTGAAGATTTTTCATTAAAATTTTTGAGAATTCAATTATTTTCAAAATTTACAATTAAAATTTTTCAACAGTTGATTTTCAAAAACTTTAATAAATTACATGTTCAAAATCTTTTTAATATTTATTTCGAAAATTTAAGTAGAAAAATTATTCAAAAATAATTTTTGGAAAATTTGACTATCGTTATTTTTCGCACTATAAAAATCGAAATAAGTTGCATTCTATACTAAAAATGTGGTATTTTGTTGCAATATTTGAAAGAAGAGTCGAAATTTTTGAAAATAAGTCGAAAATGTCGCATTTTTTGAAAATAGTTGAAAAAGTCATAATATCCGAGGCCAGTAATTGAATCGATTAATACTTAAAGTTTAAACTTTAAGTATTAGATGGAATTTATAAAAATCTCTTTTACTGTTGTAAGTTGTTTAATATTAAAATTACGTTTTAAAAATTTTACCTGTTTCAAGTGGTGGAGCACTTGGTCCGAAATTGCACATGTTTGTCCAACTATTTTCTTGCCTCATATGAATATCTAATAATTTTTTACAACCTAAAAGGAAAATTAGAAAATGTTAATTTAATTTCGTTTGTATTTCGTCGGTAGAAATCATCTTCTTTTGTACTTACGTTTTTTCATAAAAGTAAATAACAAAATTGCTCCTACTACAATAATTATCAACGATGAATACAACCAGGTGTAAAGTGCTTTAGTGTTGTCAGGTTCTGAACAGAAAAATAATTTTGATTTTAGAATTTCGTTTCAAATTTTTTGTTTTCAAATAATATTTAATTTTCGAATAAATGTATAATATTTTATTCGTACCATCCTCTTTTTGAGCAACGACAGTTTTTGAGCAAACATCTGCTGGCTCCCCAGTTGACAATATTTCCGCCTCATATCCAGAAATGCAAGGCCCACAATTTGAAGGGTGTCGAGCACTTTCTTTACCTTCCAATCGATTATATCTACTGCATATCGTGTAATTTGTGCAACGATGTGAAACATCGTAGCAATATTGTTTTTCCGGACAATCCCTGTCATCATTGCACCTTGATATTGCATTGGCTGAGGCCTAAAAGTCGTAAATTTACAAATTAGCATTAGCGTTCTAATTACTCCCATCAAATTTAACATAATCACACATTTAACAATTTTTTTTTCTTTTAACAAATTAGACAACAACACGATAAAAAAAATTTGAAGATTTATGAATTTTTGTTCATGACAAACTGAAAATTAATTTCAATTTACGTTTAAAAATTGAATCTCAAATTGAAATTCATAAATCTGATTAGCTAAAAAATTAAGTTAAAAGCAAAGTCGAAAAATGAATATACTGCTCATTGCATAACTTTGTAGAAGCAAATCGAGGAAACACTATAAAAAATAAATTTATCGGAATTAATATGTTATAAATTATCAGATTAATTTTTGCAGACATGTATATTGTTTTGCTTTCAGAGATTTATGAAAATGAAAATATTCCAAAATTACATTATCTAGAGTTGCACTTTAGAAAAGCAATGATAAATTAAATTTTGCGACAAAATATTTATGTATACTATATGGCTCTGCTGAATTTATAAATCTCTAAAACGATCAATCGACTATGAATCAAAAATTTTCTCTGTATAAAAATAGAAAGTTTTCTATACCTACGAGTCTAAAAACTACTGTTTTTCCTTCTGGGATACATTATTAAATTGGCAAATTAGTTTCTTATGAGATTTTTTTAAAAATTTTATTCGCAGAGATGAACTTAGTTAAAAATCAAATAATGTGAATTTAAAAAAAATATATATATATATTAAGTATTTATTTTATTTTCTAAACTTACATTGGCTAGAAATTTTTCAAATTTCTTCTTTTTATTGTAAAATTATTAATTAATGAATGAAAGAATTTCTTTCAAACAATTTTTATTAACTTTTATTAACTAAATTATAATTTGTTTCAAAAAGGACTCTTTTTGGATTTTATTTAAATTTCGCCGAATGGAAATAATTTCTTTTCAATCAATCAGGCTGAAGTTCGGGACGTTTTCAGGGATCGCAGTTAATCTCTTTTTTTGATCTAATTTCCTTTTTTTCTCCTTTTTCCCTTTTTTAACCCCTTAAATTTATAAAATTTCCAGAAACACCAAAAATCATACATTTTCTCCTATTTTAATGTAAATTATTTTATAAAAATAATTCAATTTTTCCTCGAACGCAGTACAATCTATCAAAAATTTTTATTTCCAGAGTATATTTTACTATTTTTGAAGTAAATTTTTCTAGTTTTTATAAAAAAAAACTGTCTTAAAAAATATTTAAAGTTATTCTGGAAATAAAAATTTTTTATAGTAAATTTTACCATTTTTTAAGGAAATTTTATCAAGTTAGAAGTAAATTTTACTAATTTTTTACTGCAATTTACATCGGATGTAGTAAAATTCATGGGATTTTAAAACAAAAAAAAATTAATTATAATCTTTCGAAATGTGAAATTTAAGTTTCTAATTTTTGTTAAATATTTTTAACACAAAATATTTTGTTCATTTGAATGTCAAAAATTTGTGGATTATAAATTGATTAAAATATAAAAATCATTTTGTTTAAAATTTGGATAAATTAAAATTCAAATTAGATGAATTTTTATAAATTAAACTGAAATTAATTAAAAACAATATGAATTAGAGAGTTCAAATTATTAAAAATTTTGACGATTTAAATTCAGAGTCAATTAAGATTTTAATCAATGAAAGTTTTAACCATTTAGAATTTAGATTGAGTGAGATAGAAATTAATTAAAAATGTTTAGAAATTAATTTTGAGTTTGAAGCCAAAATAAAATATATCGTCCCAGTAGTTTTTCGTTGACGTTTTTAAAATACGTTCCGAACTTTTCAGCCTCATTTTCAATCAATGAAATTTTAATTAATTCAAATTGACGAGTAGAAATATTTTTTTTCTTTTCGTAAAATTAAACTGCATTATCGAGTTATTATTAATACATTTTAAAACATTTTTAACAGTTTAAGTATTTTTTAAATTGAAAATCAAAACTTGTCAATAAAAAATAATGCGAAAAATTGCCAAGATAAATTTTTTTATTTTCAATTTAAAATCGTAATTAAAGAATTGCATTTCTTTGTATCTAAGGTAAATTTTTGAAAATTCGAAACGAGTTCTTTTCGAAATTTACGGCAGGATTAAATAATTATTCCTTATTCATTAATTATCATTTACTAAATTTACTTAAATATCTAATTTAACTTATATATTATTTAACCAAGTAATTGATTTTTGTCTGTTTGCGATTGAGTAAATGGAAAAAAAAGAAAACAATATAATTGAAATATGCTCATCTCTGACAAAATGATAGCGAATTGATAAAATTTATTTTTAATACACAAACTAAGAAAAAAGAGAGTTAGTTTGTAATTTGCCATTTTAGAAGTGTTATCCTTACCCTTCTTTTTTCTCGCCAAATCTTCCAAATTGATGATTTAATGACAAACACGAGGAAAAATCAATCGTCTTAGAATAAGCACCTTCAGTGCTCCTTCGCTTAACTATAAACATCATATTGTCTACAAACATTATAATTGTCAAGTTTCGACTTTATCGATATATTATTTTTTTTCTGAATAATTTTACAGTATACCCATCAACGCCGATAAAACACGAGACCTGAAGAATGAACAAAAGAAAGTTTATCCTGATTTCGTGTTAATAATTCAAAAAAAAAATTTCCCGATAAAAATTGTCAATTTTCATTATAGATACATATTTACATTTTTTTGCTAGCAACGCGTGAGGTAAAAAATTGTTCCACAATGTTATGAAATGCCATATTGAACTCGAATTTCGAAACTTCACATTTATTTTCATTCATGATTCATATATGCGGAAAAAAATCCCTCTAAAAAAAGTTTGTCCAAATTTTTTCGATTAATAATTATTTTTTCTTATAATTTACAAATTACATTATAATTTACAAAATTCTGAAAAATAATTAAGAATGTTATTAAATTTAGCTGTAAAATCTATTAATAATAATTATTTATCGCTAAAACTATTGTTTAGTCAATGACAGGTACTAAAAAATAATAATATAATCTTATTTAATGGTAGAAAATTTGAACTTTTGTTAATATATTTTTCAGAATGTTTATTTCTCGTAAAAAAATTTTCGTGTAGACACTTTTTTTGGAGGTTTTTTCTCTTGCAATTTCTGTAAATTCACCAATAAACGGTTTATTTACAGAATGTTCGAGCATAAATTAAATCTCACTTTTCAATTAACCTAAATTAACTTTTTATATGAAACGCGTGCAATGCAAATAGGTTTTTGGGTGTAATTTTTTTAATGAAAAATAAAATATTAAATTAAAATGTTAAATAAATTCTGAAAAGTATATTCCGCCTAATTGCGATAAAATCGTTTCATATACAAGTGTAAACTTAAAAGTACATATTTACAAAAAAAAGAAACTATGCACTGACTCTGTTAATGGATATTAATCACTTTTTTATGATTTAATTAAATTCACACAGCAAATATATTAACAAAATTAAAAAATTAATTTTATTAATAAAAATCGTGTGAAATATTCAAATTGTCAATTTATTTTCGAAACACTCGGTATAGTTTATTAAAGTTTAATTTTTTATATATTTCAATTATTGCTTTATTAATTAATTCTTTATGATTTTGTATTAAAATAATTTATAAATTTAAGTTTTTAAGATTTTTCGTCTTTATAATGATCCACAAGTTTTGAATGTTCAAATGAATGAAGTATTTTTTATTAAAAATATTTCTATAAATGACTGACTGTAATAAGAATTAAAAAATTGTATTTAAAAACTTTATTATTCATTTTGTTTAAAGTGGCGCAAAATTATTGTATTAAAAACTCAATTTGAAGAAGAAATAAATAAATTTCGTTCAATTGAATGTTCAGAACTGTAGGGTCATTTTTAATATGCAGTCGATTTGATCGAAAAATATTTAAATAAATTAGAATTAAACTTTATTTATTATTTTGTTTAATTTATTATTTTAAGTAATCAAATTTATTAATTAAACTTAACAGTGTAGTGCAAAATTAAAACTAATGTCGGTTTAAAATTTTAATTTTCTACTATAAATAAGAAAACGTAAAGAACACATTATGTTGAATTTAACTTGAAAAATATCAAATTAATTTCAAATAAAATTAAATATTAAATTTAATATTTAATTAAATGTACAATAAAATTAATTAATTTTTATTAATTTTAACTCATTATTTTTTAGAAGCCAATTGATTTTAGTTTTATCATGTTAATTATTAAAAAGCATAATGTGCCCATCACTGAAGTTAATCATGCAGTCACGGAGAAAAATTTTAAACAATAATAGTGATACATTTGTAAAGACATATATTCGCGAGATTATTTATGTGATGATCATTTTTCGCGATAAGAGCAAAATTGTATTTTGAATAAAAAATACGACAATAAAAAAGATACGAGATATTTGATGTGAATAAAATATAAAAAAAGAGGATTTAGAATTTTCTCTCCGTGTTTATTTATATAGTAAAAGTGTACAAAGATTAAAAGTCGACAAACGAAAAAGAATTTTTAATTGTAATTCCTAGAATAATAAATAACATGTTCTTTTTGCAAAAAAAGAATTGACAGAATTTTTTTAAAAAACTCTTCGTGAGTGTCGTATTTCAATCTTCACTTGTGCAATGGTTATCATTTATTGAAATATGAATCGCAAAAAATATTTCAACTTTCGGTTAAATAGAATACCACCCAATAAGTTCGATGAATAATCCACATCGACTATAGTTTTAAAATTTTCCTTTAGCGAAATTTAATATTCTTTATTCCGAAAAACTAAACGGGAAAAAATTTTGACACGCGGAAAAAATTTCTTCTACAATGGAAAATTTAATTTGAAAATTTTTAATTTCAATCGTCAAAAATTTTTTGTCAAAATGTGGTTTAAACATCTCTATTAAATCTAAATCTTTGAAGCGACAGTAAAAATATTTATGTTTTTTTTTACTTATTTATAGTGAATCACATAAATACTTTTTTATTTTAATCGCTTTTAATTATTTTCTACTGTAAAGAAAAGCACACTGAAAAGTAAAATTTTTAGGTAAATACAGAATATTTTAGTTTATTTGTAAAATATCAAATAAATAGGAAAAAAATGTTTTAAAAATACTCACATAATATATTTTTTATATGGGATATTCGGTAAAATTTGGGATAATAATTATAAATGTTGACGCATCACTTTTTGATGGACCTTCAAATCAATTCTTGATAAAATGCAAAAACATAATTCGTAGAGGTGGCTTTTATATTCGTTTGAATAATAAAATATTACTGAGAGGAACTTTTCTACTCAACAAAGAAATTAAAAATTTTTTTTGAACAAATAAATTTGTGAAATATAAAAACTAAATTATAAAGTAAAAAATTAAAATGTAAAATATTTATTAAATGTTTCTTTGTTTATTTTTATTCAAAACATAACATTTTTTTGATTGATTTAATTCTTTGATTATTATAAATAAATAAAATAAATAAATAAATAGAATTAAAATACGTAAAATTAAAATATTAAATAAATAAATAAATTCTAAATAAAAAAACTCTAAAAAAAATAAATTAAACGAAAAATTAAATTAAAAATCACAGAATAAAATTTTTAACAAGATTTAAAAATCTTTTAAAAGCATCTAAAAGAGATTTGACGAAAAGACACTTTTCGAAGTTATAACTTTTAATTTTTTTTTATCTTTTTTTATTTTTTGGAAAAATTAGAAATGTCGAAGGAAATTATTTTTATGAACAAATACAAAAAATTAAAATTTTTCCTGAATTATGAAAATCATGTAAAAAATATAAATAGATTATAAAAATAAATTTATGGTTTAAAAATCGTGTCAATCGTCAAAATTGTTTTCAAATCAAAAAAATAAATTATCCACCTCTAGATGTAATGCAAAATTATCAAATATACATATTTTAAAATTACAATAATAAAATTATGTAAATAAACATTGTAAGTAATAAAATTAAATCTAACTTACCAATAAGAATAAAATGATACTAAAATATCCAAAAGGTGCCTGTAAACAAAAAGAAACAATATTTTAGTTAATTTGTTTTCTAAAAAAAAGAAAATAATAAACGGATGAAATAAATAATAAATACAAATCAATTAATTGAAATTTACTTCAATTGAATACAAAACGATATAATTATATTAGAAAAAAAAACAAATTAATCATCAAATAAATTCAATAAGGATTCGAAACTTTCTATTTCATATATTCTGTACTTGACCTTGATGATATTGGAAGACCCACACAATTGATAACAACAAGAAAATTTTGAAAACAGATCTCTCACTATCTCGTTTTATATGACTCACAATTTGAGTTTAAGGTAAAAAAAAATTAAAAGAAAATTTATGATTTAATATAACAAAGAGAACAAAGAAGATTACATATGACAAACAAAAGAAAGACTTCAGAAAATTGCGGGAGAATTAGATTCATTTAGTTATCAAATAATGCAATTTTCTATTTCAGTTTTTAAATATTTTTCGAAATTTCAATTAATTATTAACTATTGTTAACAATTGTTAAGAACTGTTAATAATTAATTGAAATTTTATTGTTAAAAATCCACATTTTTGCGATATGTTTATTCGATACGCACATTTGGTCTCAATATTGCATCATCAACGTCAAGCTTGCAGATGTCTATCATTGCACAAAAGATTCTCACTCTGATTGAAGGAAAAAGACCTTATAAATAACTTTTCACTTGATATCAATCTTTTTTCTTTTATTCTGATTCATCCTACCGTGTAAATGATAAATAAACAATTAGTAATCTGAAATAAAAAAGAAATATTTTGTCTGCGAAAATTATTTTACTTTGCCAAAAAGACAATATTTTTTTAAATAAATTTTATAAATTGGGATAAAAATATGCCGTGTTTGCAAAAATAATTTTTGTACAAATTATTCTTGTAGGAATCATTTTTGTAAAAAATTTTCTTGTAGGAATAATTTTTGTAAAAATTGTTTTTACAGAAATTATTTTTGTAAAAATAATCTAAAAATCATTTTTGTAGAAATTATTCCTGTAGGATTTTGAAAAAGATGTTTTTGTAGAAATTATTTTTGCAAAAAATATTTTTTTCCAAAGAGTCGTATAACTATTTTTAATAATTTTCTATTTGATGCTAATTGCTAATAATTATTATATATTAATAAAATTCACTAGACTTCACTTTCACGTACGGGAGAAATAAAAAAATGTTTCATTTTCAGATACTGAAGAGTTTTTGGAGTAAAATGCAGAACAGAGGGGGTACCAATATAGACGACGAAGACAAGCGCGAAAACACAAAAGTTTTATGCAAGTCTCTACAAGTTGGTGCACGCAAAATCCATCTCAAATTACTCCGAAGAATCGAAATATTTCTCGGAAGTTGATTAAATTGCAAAAATAAAGAATAAATATCACCGTGCCTCAATTATAAATGTCTACGGTCTTTTTTTCGATAATGTATTAGTCAAGTGTGAATTCTGAAGAATCGAAACGATGATGACTAAGCGCAAGAGCATCGCTCTCCAGAGAGCAATGGTACCTCGATTTCATATATTGAAAAGAAAAGTTACATATTTAATATATAGGTACAGAAATCGTTTTCGCGAAAGTTCGATATGACCTTGTGAAAGATTATTGAACCGGTGAATCATTGACAAATTTTCAACTTACCATTTTTTCAGTCTTGATGAAAAAGGCACCGGAGATCACACTTAACATTTATATTATGATAATATTTGAAAGGCACGTAGAATGATAAATATTAAGGGCACCAAAGGGAATAAACAATCACTTTTCTGCGAAACTTAAACATTCGCGATTGAAAAATATTATTTTTTGATGAGAAAGGGTGTTTTTCTCTCTTTCAATCTTGTGTTTTATCCTCAAAGTTCACCTGCAGACTATATTGTTAAAGACGTGGTGACTAATCTCGAGAACCAGCGTGCACTAAACGTGTTCAAACCTGCACAGCGAGAGCAAGTGGAAGTGGGGGATCAAAGGAGTTGGGATTCTGTACGCACAGGTTCATGAAGAATGTAGTGGCTGGTTGTGGGCGAGATTTCTTCTTCTGTGTTAGTGAACTGAGTTACAGGCGCGTAGAAGAAGTTTTAAAAACGAGGGACTTTAAAAAACACCTCCTTTCGAAAGCATAACAAAGGTGAAAAATATTTTCACAATTTTCTTCTTCTTACACGATTTTTTTTCTTCAGACCTAATCCTTACTTGGCCATTATTTAATCTTAAAAATCTCAAAATTGTTTCTTAATTTTTAAAATTTACTCTTTTAAAATATTGTTTTTCCTACATTGTTAATGAATTTTTTGGGGAAGTTTTCTGTTTACTATATTAAATCCATAGATGACCTGATTACTTTTCGATTTTTGTATTATCAAAAATTAGTCTTCCTGAATATTAGGGGGGGAAATGGGTTTTCTCTACGTACTACGGCAATTTAGACTTATTTTTACACTTTTTATTCTCTATTTGTACAAGAGTTTAAGTTTCTATTCGTCGTTGTTTGTAAATATGTAATTGGTAAACAAAGAAACTGAATAAATTTTTACAGGGTTTGTATAATTATCGTGGTTGTTAATATTAGTAATTATAGAAGTTTTAAAAAATTATTTATTTTTGATAATTTCTTGGAGAAAAGGGAGAAAAGTAAATTGTAAATAAATAGTACGTTACTGAACACACGTGCGAACGAATGGTGGGATGTGTGTAGTTCTTCGAGAATCATCGAGAATATTCTGAGCACCAATACGCTTACAAGTGACAGACATGCACGAGGTGAATGTCAAATTTAATATTTCCCGCCGCTGCGCTCCATTATCTTTAAATATATCATAATAAACACGTTGTCATTTATGGAAACTTTTATAATATCGATAACTAAATCAATGCTTGGAATAATTTTGCAATAATTTGCACACATTTTGTTACTGTCAAGAGAAAAATATTGCTAGTATTGTTTTTTGTATTTATTTTTTTAATTCTTATACCTTCTCAGGGTTGCCCTAAGTCAGGAAAATCAGGGAAAAGTCTGGGAAAGTAGAATTGATCAGGGAAATTAGGGATTTTTATCAAAAGTACTGGAAAAGACTAAATTTTTAGAATTCATAAGAAAATTCTAAATTATATCATATTCATATCATAATCTTAAAAATTATGTAATGAATAATTTTATTTGAATATTTCAAAATTAATTTAATTTTAAAAGAGTTGCGTCTACAATTTTCATAAATAGATGAACTTCAAAAGGTTGCAATTTGAAATTTTATAAAATTTCAGTTTTTAATGAATTTAATTAAAAAATCTTAAAATTTTGAAAACTTTTAATAATTTTAATTCTTCGTAAATTAATTAAATTTTGTAATATATATTTAATTAATTACCAAAAATAATGGATTTATAGAAGAATTTCAGTTAAAAACTAAAAAAAATTGATGTAATTCTATACGCAAACATTTAATTATTTTCATAAATAATAAAAATTTCACAATTTGTTGATACAATTCTTTATGAGAATTCAATTGAATTCTTATAATTTTTATATAATTATAAAAAGTAATCAATTTATTTTTATATTTAAATAATTGACTTCTCATAGAATTTTCTAATAAAAATTGATTTAAAAGTGAATGTCAGTTAAAATTTTAGATAATAATTGAATATTAAAACCATCAGTAAATTCTTTAGGGTCTGGGAAAAAGTCAAAATTTGACACAAAAAATTGCTGTGGCAACCCTGTTTCTAAAAAAAAATAGTAGCAAAATGTGTCTTTTTTGGAAAAAATATATTATTACCGTAATTTATTATTATTTTCAAATTTTTAATAAAATTACTAGAAAATAAAAATTACAAGTATGAAATTGCAGATTATATTTTTATATAAAATATACGATGAGGTACACCGATATTCTTAACTATATCACCAAAATATTTTAAATATTCCATAAAATTATTTTTATGGTATTTTTGTGAAGAATCCAATAGCTATCAAATAAAATAGATCAAAAAATATTTTGACTCGTTTTGAATTTTTATTTTTCCTAAAAATTGGTAAATTTTTTTAAAACTGTGTGTCAACAAAAACGTTGGTAATTTCAGTTTCATTCAACAATAGTAAAATAGTATATTGTGCAACACTGCAACAAGTACAGAAAGAAGCTGTTTTCCGACGAGTGCAAAGTTTGCTGTCCCGAGCGAAGCGAGGGCAGAAATTTGCACGAAGTCGGAAAATCTTCTTTCGTACGTGTTGCACACAGTACTTTGTGCAACACCTTTTGGTTTTGATAAAAAAAGCTGTTTGGAAACGCTAGTTGACGCCAACATACGTACTGTTTAGCAGGGTTTGGAACGTATGTTACCGCACGTAATATACGTGGTTTTCTACGCGTATATTACTGTAAAAGACAGGTATTCTACAAATAGAAAACAAATACCTATGTATATCACCAAAAAAACCCAAAGTTTAAGAACTTTGCCGCACTAGTGCAGCAAAGTGAGCACTTTACCGCACTAGTGTAGCAAAGTAAGCTCTTTGCCGCACTAGTGCAGCAAAGTACTGTTTTGCGCCTACTTTACAGGCATGCAAAGTATTACTTTCCTTACAGGTGTTGCACAAATCAAATTTTTTTAATGGACAATTTTTTTGTGGATTCAAAAACATAATTATTTTCTACAAAATTTCGCATGGATTTAAAAATCTACCAATTTTTAGGAAAAATAAAAATACAAAAAGTGTCAAAATATTTTCTTTTCTATTTTATTTTATGACCATTAAATTCCTCACAAAAAAATTATACCATGAAAATAATTTTATGGAATATTTAAAATATTTTCTTGATATACAGTGTTTAAAATAAAAATTAATAAAAAATATAGTTAAAAATGTTTTTTCTTAAAAAATAATAAATATTATAAATTATAAAAATTATATTCAGGGTTGCCACAAGTTGGGAAAATCAGGGAAATCTCAGGAAATTGTATCAGAAGTACTGAAGAAATACAAAACCAATAAATATTTCATTCTTCTTAAATTAATTAAAAATTGATTTCTCAAAAAATTTTAATTTAAAAATTATTAAATAATTAAATTTCACAAAGAGTCGGAATCGAATGCATTCCTATGTTTTTTAGTGTAAAAAATCAGCATTTAAGAGTCAAAATTCAATATACAATAATTTATTTTCAAAAAAATTACAATTATCATTAATTAGTTAATTTAAAAAAAATAAATGTGAGATTTGAAGAAAAAATTGAAGTTTCGAAAAATTTTCTTCAAAATTTTGAAATATTTTAGTTTCATTTTTTAGAGATACCTATAGTTTAATTTTTATAAACAAGGAATTGAAAAATTCTGAAGTAATTAAACTTTTCTAAAATTCTATTCAAATTTCTAAAACATATAGGTAAACACTCTTAAAGTTCTGAACCAACTTTTTGTTTGTAAAAATTTTCTTTTTTCATACCTAATTTTTAATTTTAATTTTTTTTTATTTCAAAGTTTTTTTTATAAAGATCAGGGGAAAAGTTCTAATTCTGTCTGAATATCAAGGAACAGTAAGAAGAAAACAAAATATAATTTTTATGGCAACCTTTTTTATTATTTTTAAAATTATTAATAAAATAAAGATAAATGAATATTAAAAATTACAAAAATCACATTATTTTCAAATTTCTAGAACTTTCTTTATTTCTTCAATTTCGAATTTTATTATAAATCGTAAAATATTAAAATAAAGTTGTTAAATAATTAAATGTTAAATGTTAATTAATTAATTAATTAATGTTAAATAATTTATTTATTTACAAAATTAGACAGGATTATAATTCAGATCTTAAAGTTCTGAATATTCAATTGAACAAAATTTATTTATTTCTTTTTCAAAGTCTGTAATTTTAGGTCATTTAAAAAAAATTTTGCAGTATCGAAATGTTTAATTTACATTATTCTTAATTTTTATAGCAGTTATTTACAAATTTTTATTTATTCATTATTTTTTATCATTTTATTATTATTATTATTATTAAAATGATTATTTGTTAATATTATTAATTATTATTTTATTATTATCAATTAATATTTAATTTACATTTTTAGTTTGAATAGTAATCAGCAATTTTGAAAAACATATGAAATATAAACAAAAGATTTCGTTCATTTGAACAATGAGAACTTATGAATCATATATATTATTTTACAACAATAATAACTTGAAACAATTAAAATGCAAAATGATGAGAAAGTAACAATCGTAATAACAATAATAATAATTGTAATGATGGTAATTTTGATTTTTATTTCGTTTCAAAAATTTGCTTTATACGTGAAACAATAAATTTTCCGTATACATAGTTTCTTTCTCTCTGGTAACTCTTTACTTCTTTCATGTTTTATCGTGACGAGAATGGATATTCCCACGATAAAAAATTGAACTGAAAATTCTATTTAAGCATTTAAAGATGCCAATAATTAAATCTGTAAAAGGGAATAAAAACATCTCTTCCTCGTAACCCTGAAAAGGATGAAATCATCACGTACCAAGTGAATATGATTTGGAATTCGGTCAGGGACAAACTGGTTCTATCAACTTTAGGTGTATAAACATAGATGCGATTTCGTAACAAAGTTTGAAAACATACATTAATGCAATGTGTTTCACCGAAAATGCAATTTCGACAAATTTCAACTTTTTTAACTTGAGAAATTCGTTAAAACTTTTGATAACATTTTTCTACTAGGAAAAATATTGTTTTTAGTAAAAATTTATAATTTGCAATATTATTGACAATAGTGCATTTATATTATAAACAATAGACTAAAAAAATGTATTTGCTTCGAATAATCGATTATTTGTCTATTTCCAACTAAATATTTATTTTAAATGTCAAGAAATTTATCAATCCTCCAAGTCAAATAATATTTGACTTGGAGGATTAATAAATTAAAAAGGCAATTGACAATTAATATTATCTTTTACCGAGTGATAAATTCTACTACTTAAATATTTATTTATTTAGATCTAATCCAACAGTTGATAGACAAATTCCCAGATTATAGAAAAAAAACCTTTTTAAGTTTTCAAAATTTCAACAACAAAAATTTACTTGCATCAAATAACTTTTGTTTTAATCAAATAAAGTTTATTTGGACCAATAATTTTATTATTTGAAACAAATATCATTAAATTGACTTAAATAAATTTATTTGATATAAATAAATATTTTTTGTTTGATAATTGCCTCTTCGAATCGTTTATTTGAATCAATAATTTTTCTCAGTGCATAATAAAAAATACAAAAAAATTGTTGTCAGTAAAAAAGAAAAAAAAATATTGTTTTTCAATAAATAAAAATTCAAATTTCCAATCGAAAAAAATTTTGAATTCGCAATTTTATTGAAAATAATAAAATTTCATAAAATTTTGTGTGTAAAATTGAAAATATGAAAGTAATTAATTTTTGGATATTCCTTAATATTATCTAAGAAAAAATAAAATAAATTTCTTCGATATCCTTTTGAGACTGATTTTATTTGATGTTGTTTCAATATTTCAGTCGCATCATTAGGCGCAGATTTTCTTAGAATTGTTCACGCTAAAAATCCGGTATTTCGCTTAAGATATTATATGTATTTTTCAGTTGCCATGCGAGAAAGTAACCAATCTTCTTCTTTACTTTTTGTACTTCATTTTTTATTCTATTATAAACTTCAACTCAATTATATATTCTAGATCTTCATCTGATTTTATCGAGCGAAGAAATTGAGGATCGACGGCTACTTATGTAATTGATGAATCATCAGTCATCGTCCTTTCAGTGACTCGAATATTATTTTTTCTCAAGAATTGTACATTATTTACTCAAATTTGACGCAAATCTACGAATTTCAGTGACTGGTTTTTTTTCAACTTCAACGAAAAGTGAAATGTGAGGTAAAGATCAAAGAAATTGCGAGAACAAGGAAAGAAATTTATTTTTGTTTTATTTTTATTTCTAGAAGTTAAAAGATTAGTTTTTAATTAAAAAAAACATTAAATCCTTAAAAAAAGTAAATACTTTTTTATTAATGCTTGTGAAATTTTGAAATTTAATTTTAAGTTGTATTTCAAGTGAACATTAATTTTCTTTTTTCTTTTTTTTTGAATAATTCAATTCTCAAGGAACCTTCTGAAAGTTATTAAAATTTTGAAGAGAATTTAAGTTAAAAATGTTTTAAATTGTATTTTAAATGAAATTTCTTTTTCTATTTTGAATAATTCAATTCTCAAAGAACTTTTTGAAAATTATTAAAAATAATAGATTTAGAGAAGTATTTTAGTTAAAAATTTAAAAAAATAAATGAATATTAGAAAATAAAATATGATTTATAAATAAATAAATCAAAATAAAATTTATCAAAAATTTAAAATTATTTTTTATTTAATATTTTATTTAATAAAAAAAAATTCAAATTTCAAATTAAATTTCAATTAATTCAAATACAAATTTTACAGATTTGAATTTTAAATAATTTTTATAAAAATTATAAACTTAGTTTTTTGAAAAATTTTCAAATAATTTAAATTTTGCAAAATTAAATTGAGAATAATTAAATTTTATACCTATTTTAAGTGAACTTTCTCTTTTTTTGACAAATTGAATTCTCAGAATTTACTCAAAATTGTTAAATTTTGGAATGAATTAAATTTTATTTTTTAGAAGTATTAAAATTTCTGAATGTTTGAAATTGAAACTTTTAAATAAAAGTTGAACTCATATGGAAAATGTATAAAGATTAAAATATTTATTTAAAAAAATTATTAAAGTTTTGGATAATTGAATTCACAAATTCTGAAAAAATTAAGCTTTTGAAATATTTTAATTAAAATTTTTTGAAGATAATTAAATTTCCAAAAGAATGTAATTAATTTTTAAAAGTGTCAAACAGTTGTAAATTTTGTTGAAATTTAAATTTAAATTTAAAAAATAAAATTTTTGTGACTATCCGGAATAAAATCAACTTTGAATCGACTAAAACGATTTTTTTGCATCTTAAAAAGTCAATTCGTGGCTGTATGATTGTAAAATTTTTCAATCATAATTTTAATATTTAAAAATGTAATTAATTGTTCAAAACTGACAGAGGTAGTATTTTTTAAATTTATTTATTAATTTCTGTGAAATAAGTAATTAATAAATAATTCATTCAAAAAACTATTTTTTTATTTAAACGTTATTAACATTATATTCGTGGAGAGATTTTGAAAATTCTAAAAAGCGTAGAGTTTCACCGAAAACATTTTTAAAATACAAATATAACTCACTTCTAATATGATGAAATATATTTTTGCGAAGATTTATTAAAATCGGAAGATGACTCGAAGAAATCTAATATTTCTTGTGTGGACTGACCCATAAAAATAAAATTCAAGTCCATCTGAATCTGGGGCTTGATTAGCATTTTAAATTAGAATTCTAAAATAATATAACAAAAGAATAATAGACATTTTCAAGAAATAAATATTGTTCCTGACATTCTATTGGAATAATCGGCATTAAAGTTTGAAATTCTAAAGTAATAACAGAATAATAGAGAGAAAGTCGAGTTTACAAGTTATAAATTATTAAGAGCAACCTGATTCCACCATATTTTCAATCAATTATATTTTTATAAATTTTTAGAATAATCACAATAACAATGCGCGGAATATGTTATTATTGTATTTATAAATAAGAAAGTGAACACTTTAGTGAAAATTTGAATAAATTTATTTTTAAAAAACTTGATTAAAAACTATAGTTCGCAGATTCTGTTAATTCTAAAAAATAATTTTAATACTGGTTTGAATATTTGATTTTATTAATTAGACTGATGGAAATTAATATTTAAATTTCATTAAAAAATTATAAATTATATTTTATTACTTAATAGGGTCAATTGGGGTAAATGTAAACGGAATATCTATTTTTCACCAAAAACATTAGTTTTTTTTGTTAAAAGGTAAAACGGACGGATTTTCTTTGCATGAACTTGTTACTAGAGTTCCCTAGAAAAATTTTATGAGGTTCAAAAAAATATTGATGCACCTGAATCGCCTAAAACTGACTGTTTACATTTACCCCGAGATTTTGAAATTTTCCTAAAATTCGGGGTAAATGTAAACACCACTGTAGTTAAGCGAGGTTTAAGAAACAAGTTATTTCAAGTATACTACTGTTTTAAGGGATGGAAAAACTGAAAAAAAATTCTTCGTAGATGTATAGTAAATCAACCAGTTGACTGATAATGTATCATATAAAATAAACAATCAACCATTACAAAATTAGTAATGTAAAAACTTGAATAACTTGAACAAATTTTAATAGATTTTCATTCAACTTGATAAAAAGAAGTTTTTAAGGTTGCTGAATAAGAATCTAAAATCGAATTTTTAAATTTCAAAATGGTGGATCCAATATGGCGGATGAACCTAAAAATAATATTTTTAAAAATTGATCAAATTTGCTTGAATCTGGCTACTAGGGGGTTTTTGAGGTCGCTGAATACGAATTTCAAGTCAAATTTTAAATTTTCAAAATGGCGGATGAACCTAAAAATATTTTTAAAAATTGATCAAAGTTTAAAAAAAATTTTTTTTTTTTTAAAGAGGACCTAATTTCCTTTTCTATGTAATTTTACATTGCCAAATTAATGAAATTGTGAAATAGAAGCAAATTTATTCAATTATTTTCTTTTAAAATGTAGTTCAAGTTCTGTTTACATTTACCCCGAGTTTTCGAATTCTCGGGGTAAATGTAAACACTTAATTATTTATTAACTAAATTGACGAAAATCAAAAATCAAAGTCAGTTTTTGTTAGGCCATTAATAAGGAAGAATTACATATTTTTGTTTGATTTTTAAATTAATTTTTATGCAAATGCGAGACAAGATACTGAAACAGTAAAATTTTGATTTTCAATCTTTTTTGCATTAAAAACTATGGCATTGCCAATTGTCAAAATAAAATATTGGCAATACTCAGAACATCTTGTAGGTGAGCTGAGGTAAAAATATTGACGTCGTACTTATTTTTTAATTTGTAAATTTAGCTGAAACATCTACTGTTTACATTTACCCCTTGTTTACATTTACCCCAAATGACCCTAACTAGTTTGGATATTATTCTAGGTATTTTTTCTATAGATATTACGGTTAAAAATTCAATTTATAAATTATTACAAAACTTATTTCAACTCCTACATTTTTTATTCATTTTCCTGAATATTAAAAAAACTGAATATTATTATTTCCATTTAAAATGAGGTTAAAAAAATAAAAAGAAGGTGAACAAATGAGATTATAAAAATTAATTTTTTATAATAAAAATCCAGGATTAAACCGAATTTTAAAATTAATTAAGTAAATTTTCGATAAATTTCATTAATTGAGGCCTTGGATCGAATAACTCGCCCGACGCTCGAAGGCACGCGCTAATACCAGTCGGGTAGCAGTGAGTGGCCCAGAGGCGCTCACTGCTCACTGACTGGCAGTTGCGCGTTCCTCCGAGCGTCGGGCGAGTTATTGGATCCAAGGCCTCAATTATTAAAATGGGTTAAAAAGAGAAAATTTATAATTATCGAATATAAAAATGAAAAACTAATTAAAAAATAATTATAATAAATATTTAAGTGTTATTTATTCTTCAGTTAGATCAATAATGACCAAAGTACAAGTACAAGTAGATAAAGCATATAAAATTAGTTCTTTTTAATTAAACTACAAATTAGGTAAAGTGTTCTCTTATTTCTATAGAAGAAGGTAAAATTAATCTATTATTAAATAAAAAAATTTATTTTGGTTCTTTATAAACTAAAAATATACTTTAGCAAAAGTCGATGTATTTTTTAATTGTTTATTTGCATTCAATTTATAATCACAATTAATAATTTTTAATTATTTTGAATTCATATTTGCTTCAAAATGATAAATTTTTCAATTTTAAGAACAAAGTATTTGTGATAATAAAAAATCTCAAAAATTACCCTTTAATAATAAATTTGTAATATAAAAATAGAATTTATATTTAAATATAAATATTTTAACAGGTTAGGAGTGAAATATAAAACAAAAGATTTATATATGATTTATATAGTTATTATTTTGTACAGTTATTATACAGTTTTTACAGAGTCCGAATACATAAGCATCTTTTATTTCGTTTATAATAATAATAGCTTATATAAGAGCTATGATTTCTCACTTTTTTCTTTCTTCGTTTTTTTCATATTTTTTTATTAAAAAATTTCTGCGCTTTTAAACTTGCTAAAATCAAACAGAAATGTTTTTACCCTTACAAAGAACTCACATTTGTTCATTTAAGCATTTTTTTTCTCTTCTCTCCTTCTTACGCATTTCTTATTCTAGGCGATGTGTGAAAGATGGAATGTTTATTTTAATAACTTTTTTTTTCTTTCAAAAACTTGAGATAAAAACTTGCATTAATACATGTAAGAAGTACATGACACAATTGTCATATGATATTGAGATATATTTTTTTCCATACAGATCGGGCTTTAAAATCCGATATACTAACATGTTATCATCGCGAGACATCAATAAAAATTCTTTCAAATATCGAAAAATCTTAAGAACAAATTCATATAGTTTTTTTTTTTGTATTTTGTTACGCACTGGAAAATGCGAGGCATTTGTCAGGGACAATAATATCTATTTATGAAAAAACATTTTCATTATGAATTCATAATTGTTACGAATTCGTAATAATAAATTGTGGAAACGGTTATTTGTTATGAAGAATAACTATTGCTAGTACATTAACACAAGTATTAAAGCGCAAGAAAACTAATATTTGACATTCGTGAAATTATTCAATTATAAATGAACATTTCAAAAATCTATTTCACTGTGTGATTATTTAACAATAAGAATATTTCTTTTTTACTGTTGTTCTTAAAAAAACATATACAATTCTTAAACTTTTCAATGGAAAAATTTAAAGAAGAAGTAGAAGAATAAATAAAAAAATAATTCTTTGTATTTGAAAAAAAAATAAATAAATAATAAACATATATCTAGTTAGAGATATAAAAGAAAAAATAAAAATATCCATTTTTAAGAACCACAATAAAGAAAAGGAGAGTACGGAGACAATTATTTCACACTGGCATATTTCAAGAAATTACACTCAAGTTGAACTTAAAAAGTGTCATTAAAGATTTACTCACGAAGAATGTGTGTATGTGTTCGTGTGTGTACTTTATTTACATTGTACATATATAAACATATGCAAGACATAAAATAGTACTGATTGAAAGTAGAAATGCTACTTTGTACCATAGTCTTCAAGTAATGTTTCTAAAAAAAAATGCTGGCCGGTGCTTGAAACTTAAATTAACTCATTGTTCATCCTTTGCACAGTATCATTCATTTTCTCAATACATTTCGTTTCTCTCTCGCTCATTCATACTAATTAAATTAATATTAAATTCGCAAAAGTCTTCAATTCATAAATATAATATCTATTCGAAACGTAACTTAATATATTACAGAATAACTTAGTCTAATTTCGAAAAATGCTAACTAAATCTTATGACTTAATGAGCGATAATTTACTATACTGTACAAAAATGTTTTTCGATTCGACCACAAGCACGATTTTCAATTCGAATACTTATGAAAGATTTGGAATCTTTAATGTCGTGTTTGGACCCCGTTTGGCCAATATCAATATCTAGAAAAAATCACGTACACGTTTTTATGTGAATTTACGTTTCAATTCGTAAATGATGTATATTTTAGTGCAATTCGAAAAGAAGAGTCGTCAGTTTTACTGACTGGATTTTTTTTCTTGACTATCAAATCAAACCCATTTTAAGTACTCGTTGAATTCTTAAAAAAAAAAATCAGCAGAAAACAGGCAAATTTTTTTAGTCACTGGCCATTGCGAGTTTCCACTGAATGAAAATTAAAAAATCTTTTCTTTAGGAAAAATAGTCAAACATATTTTCCATAAAACAAAAATAAAAAAATTGTCAAAGACCTTTCTATGAAATGGTAAAAAAAAGCAATTTTAAATTTCCATATAACAAGAATTACAAAATTATCAAGTTCTAAATCAAAAACCGTTCAATGAACGCTTTACATGAAACATTTTAAGGAAATCAGTCTTGTTCCTCCAGCACGCATAATTATTGGTCGGAAATAGTCAATTTAAATATAATTGCTCGATGTACAACATTTCTCGGCAATTATCTCGAAAATAAAAACGTAATTGCAATAATTAGCGATTACATTATATTAAAATAAATAATAAAAAAAGAAGAAATATACAATTATCTTCTTTCCGAATCGCACTATGACGGATACATTGATTGGATATAAGCATCCTATGGGCTTCAAGAAAAAAAATATAATATATATCCGTATCTCTTATTTCATTACTCGTTAAGAGTAGCATTAAGTACCATACGCCAAGTACAAGATGAAAACTTGAAAACATGACTACCCATAGTGAAGCGGAGATTTCCGATTTTTATATCTTATTTTATAGTTTTTTCTTGACTTTTTCAAAGTCAAAATAAATATCATTTCGATGGACTAAAATTTCTCGTATTTCGTATGAAATATGAGACAAGTAAAAATGTAAGACTTAGTTTATACACAAATTGTATCTTACATTTTTGTTTTCTTTTTCTTTAAATAAAATTTTTTTAATTTTCTTTTCACGTCGCTCATCACGACAGACACACTCGTTCGACTGAATGATGTTGAACCATTTTACACGTGGTGACATTCTTGGTAAACACTGCAACAGAAAGGAAAAAGAAAATTTTTATTTTCATCGATAAACGAGAAACAAAATTTATAAGAATTTTACTTTGATTAAAATTTTATTTACTTTATCCGAATTTTTATTAAACAAAATTATTACTTTTTTACAATCGTATCATGTCAAATATTACTCTCTTTTTAAATTCGTATTTATTTTTAATAGAATTTTTATTTATCTGAATTTTTAAAACTTCATTTTTTTAAAGGAATTTTTTATTTAAGGAAAACTTTTATTTTATAGAATTGTCACATAATAACATTTTTCTTTAATCGAAAATTTACAGTCCAATTTATTTTAATTCGAATTTCTAACAGAATTTTTATTCAATCGAATTTTTTTTAGTAGAATATTAAATTTAATAAAATTTTTCAGTGCTAGAATTTTAATTTTTTTTTAATTTTCGTGCAGTAGAGTTTTTACGTAACAGAGTTTTTCTGTGCAACCAAATTAAAAAATTTTTTAATTTAAAAAAACTAGATTTTTGAGTTTCTGGTGCTTTTAGTTAACAGAATTTTTTTTATTCAAATATGAAAATTTAGTATTTTTTGAAAATCGAAGATTATTAAAATAATTGAAGCAAAAAAGTTAGTTACTGATCGAAACTTGAAATTTAATTTTGATTAAATTTGGTTAAATAGAAATTCTCTTCAGTAAAACTTCTCTGAAATGATAATTACTTCTTAAAAAAAAAATTTTGTTGAGGGAAAATTCTATTAAGTGAAAATTCTTTTAAATAAAAACTCGTTTAAAGAAAAATTCTGTTAAGCAAAAGTTCCATTAAATTAAAATTAATTTACATAAATATTTCCTTAAGTAAAAACTCTGTTAAGCAAAAATTTTGTTAATTAAAAATTCATTTTAAGAAATCAATTTAAAAATTTTTTAAGAAAAAAAGGTATTTTCTAAAATTTGGTGATTTAAATTTCCAACCAATCGAATTTTGTTATAAAAAACTTCCAAGTTCCCAAAATTCCAGATTTTCAAATTTAGTCGAATTTTATAAAGTTGAATTAATATAAAAAAAAATTTTATTTCGTAGTGTTAATAAAATTTCTCTTTAAAACTGTTTTCATTTAATACTTTTTACTTAACACAAAATGAAATTAATTTGTCAAATAAAAATTCATTAAACTAATTAATTTCATTATCTGCTAATTATTTTTATTTTACATTTAAAAATTTTATTTAACGAACTTTAGATATTTTCAGAAAGAAAAGTAGCGGTTAGTTTAGTTTCATATTTAATAGAATTTTGATTAACTCAACGTTTGTATGATAAAATTTGAATTTAACTAGATTTTCATTTATCAATTATACTGTTGAATGAAGAGTTTATTTAATCAAAAGCTGGTTAGATAAAGAATTTGTAAAATAGAGTTAAATAAAAATTCTACAAAATAAATCGAGTAAAGTGAAAGTTCTGTTAGATAAAAATCCATTTTAAGAAAAATTTTTGTAAATCAAAATCCATTATTTATAGAAATATCTGTTAATCAAAAGTTTAGTTAAATGGATTTTTAGTTAACAAAATAATTCTTTAAATTGATTTTTACTTAAGAGAATTTTTTTTCTTTATCAGAAATTTTATTTAACAGAATTTTCTTTCAGTTAATTTTTCATTTATCATAATTTTTTAAAAATAAATTTTCGCTTAACAGAAATTTTCTCTAAATATATTTTTATTTAAAGAAAAATTCTATTCAGTAAAAGTCCAATTGAATAAAAAATAATTTAAATAAAAATTGCCAAAGTGAATATTCTGCTGAGAAATTTGACGCTTAAAAGATTCAGTTACACTGGAATACTGCTATATCGAAACTCTGTTAAACATAAATTCCGTTGAATGAAAATTCTCCTAAATCCATTGAACTTGATTATTCTCTGTATAAAATTTCAATTATAGAACTTCTGTTCAATGAGAGTCGTTCGAATGATAATTCCGTTCAATATAAATTCTCCAGTAATCGGCTAAATTGAAATTGACTCTAAAGGAAAAAAAGAAAATCGATCTAATGAATTTTAGAGAATCACTTATTCGATTTTTCGCGCTCATAAATGTAAACTATGAAATTTTTAAATTAAAAACTGAGAAGATGCTTACCTATCAGACGAGCGACACCAGGAGCAGGGATTAACGGCCGCTAAGACTCCCGCGGCTCTTAACACCTACGTATTATTATACACCTGATGATGCATAGGATGGTGTGCCTGATATTGTCCCTGATTCGGGTGCGAGTGCTGCTGCATCGAGTGATGATGCTGATGTGCATGTTGAACAGCATGCTGATGAGAATGTGAATGTGGCACTGCATTGGGATGCCTTGCATTATATCTAACACTTCCCGCCAGTGAGCTTCCTCTGCCATGTGTGCCGATAATACTCTGCGAGTCGGACATCTCCTCCTCCTCACCGCCAAGGCTGCGAAACCTGACGAATCCATCCTCGGCGACCAGCATCGTTGAGCCCGTGGCCGAGGCCTGCTCGTGCAATCCCGCCTGCGTCGGCGTGTGCCTACCGCGTGTGTCGAGGTTCCTCATTGTCTGCACGCCGTTCCCGTGTCGACTCATTGATCCCCTTCCCTCGTGGGGAAAGTGTCCCATGGTCCCTGATTTTCTAATTGAATGTCTCTCGAATGTGCCGGTGATATTGAGATGCTCCGGCAGAGTATTCAATGGATAACTGTCGTCATAGACTTGTTTTCCAGTTCTCATTGTGTAATTTTGAATGGCCTGATTGGTACTGCATATTGCCGGGTACAGTACGTCGTCCATATTTTCAGTGGACGTTGAACTGCCGCAGGGGAAAAGGGCAAAGCCCGAGTGTGCCGAGTGCTGCTGCAGTTGTTTCTCGCGCAGTGGATACTGCGACAGACTCGAGACCCAAGCCATCAAACCGCACATTGTGAGTTCCAGTAGACGGACGGAAGACTGCCAGCCCCACCAGAGCCAGGAATGATGGTACAGCGTCGACATCTCCTGAACACCGAAGATGCAGTCGAAAAGCTGAACCGATCCCATGAGAATGAACAAGAGAGCAGTCGCTATTGATGTCGTGATTGCGGTATTAAGCGCCATGGCCAAGGGATCGGCCGCTACGTGATTGTTTATACTCTTGTTCGTCGTTATATGAATTTGTGATCGGATCACACGATAGACGTACATGTAGCACAGTCCAAGTACCATGCAGACGATTATGTAGATGCATTGACAGATGAGGGGGAGAATTTTCGCCTCGTCATGGTAGCCGAGCAGTGGACTCGAAATGTGGAGCGAAATGCAGAGGACAACGTGTACAATTGCGTAGGATGCGACTGATGTTGGGGAAAAATATTTATTATTGAATGAAGGCGCTTCCGAGCATCTCGTCATGTAGAGAACAAGAGTCGCGAAAGCCGTAGAGAGCATTGGCGATGGCAGATACATCAGAACTCCGGACAGTGAACTGTGCAATGTACCCGAGAGATTGTTTGCATCGTAGAAGAGATGAAAACACCTTAGAGTGCATACAGTTGTCAGGAGCAAATGCACTGTGAGAAAGTACGATTGTGTGAAGAGATTCGTAGCGTCGTTGAAGCGAACTATTTTATATATCGAATAAAGTGCCATAAGAGTAAAGCTGATAGCGGCGATATAGACGTGAAGTGACCAAGCGATCCTCCAACTTGGATCCAGGGGAAATGGATCCCTGTGTGGTATCACACGATCATCCTCAATTGGTCCTTCCTTCGAAGGATTCGGAGGTTGCGGATGTGGATAAAGTAGTCGTTCTCCATCCACCGTCTCAATATTCTCAGTCTTGAATATATTTTCGTTGTAGTTCTTCTGGTCCTGAAAATAAAAATCAAATTAATACCACGAAAAGAAAAATTATAATAAATAGAATAAAAAAAGGAAAAATCTTCTTTCAAGTTAAGACGAAATGGAAATATTTAACATAATAAAGTTTTCAAGGTCAGGAGCAAAGAGGGTATGAATTATAAATTGAAGAATGGAGCAAAATAAGAGAAGAATCAGAAATCAAAGCAACACTTTTGCATGTGTCGAGAGGAAGAATATTTTTTCTGCATATGTAAAGAAAAGCAAACAAGTAGTTGAGATGGAAATGTGCTAAAATTAGAAACTCGGTATGCTCTAAGGAATATGGACTTATGAAGCACTACGATGAAAGTTTGAAAACAAGTTTTAATACTATGCAGGGTAGACAGAGATTGTCGACACTTTTAACAATCTCCACTTTGTTGACGGTGTAAACTTTTCATCGTTCTAGGATTATTCTCAGATCAAGTTTGAAAAATCATTTGGGAATTGAGCTTAATTTTTGAAATGATATATCCAAAATAACTAATTCATTTTCAGAATTTCCTTTTTCCCACCATTCAAATGAAGCTAATTTTAATAAAGATGTTTCAATTTATAATTAAACTTATTTAAATTACAAAAGTGACTAAAACTCGAATGCTAAATATACAATTGAAACAGGAAATATATATATTAAAGAAATATTAATACACTTTAGAATTACAATTTGACCTAAAATATCCATTTTAAGAAGAAATTTTAACGACAGTGGAGTGGAAATCAATTTGTCAATCTTGACAAATAAGTCATAATAATTTTTCCATATAAATTATTTTTCACTTAAAGAAAAATGATTTTAATCAAAAAAAATATAAATTATTTTTATAATCTCAGAAACAGTGAATTATTTCACGCTTATTAAATTTTTATATAGAAATAAAATTGAGGATTATAATATACTTTCAATTGGAGAATAAATTCAACTAATTGTTCCATTAATTACGATATGAAAAAATGATTAAAATTCAGATTATAAATTTATTGGAAATCAAGTATTTAATGAGCGATTATCAACCAACTTTTCGCAATGGCAAATAAATTTAAGCAATTAAATTTATCCTTTAAAAACAAAACTCATCTATTGAAAATCAATATTTAGAAAAGATTCCACAATTTCTTGTGATAATTCTTAAGAAAACCACATTTAAATGAACTTCTAAAACTTATAAACTTTTAGATAAATAAACTTAATAAGTAGACTTTAATTGACAACGATTTTCAAATATTCTTAACCAATTTCTCAATTATTCGTAACTAGCAAAATCCTACGCGTGCAATGCGCGCGTGAATGATTTAAAGAATTATCACGGTAGCAATCTTCCTATACCTGCTTTCCACAGAAAAAGTTTAATAAATTTAACTTATATTGTTCCATGTTTATAATAGTTATGATTTTTTAAAAAATCTCGGTTTTTCAAATAAATTATTATTTCCACGCCTCAGAAGCCATTTAAAAAATTGCAAGAGGATCCAAGGCGGGGAAAGCAGTAATTTTTATTTTCTGTCACGGACTTTTCAGAAATCCTAGAATATAAAATAAATCATTATTGAAAACAAATCAAAATCACTGCTTTCCCCTCCTTCAATCCTCTTGCAAATTTTTTAACGACTTCTAACATTAAAATAAATAATTAGCAAACGAAAAAAATTGCTTCCAAGGCGTGGAAATTATAATTTAGTTTAAATAGCGGGATTTTTAGAAAATCCGTGAAAAAAATTAAAATTACTACTTTCCTTGCCTTGGATCCTTTGCGATTTTTTTAATGGCTTCTGTTATTAAAATAAATATAATTACCAAGTGAAAAAACATGCCTCTACTCAACTCAAGTTTCAAATGTAATTTTTATACATGTAATTTTCTCATGAAATTCTTCAAACATTTTTTAAGCTCATATAAATGTAATAAAATTCAAACTCAAAAGATTTAAATTATAATTTCTTCAAATATTTTAATTTTCATTCTTATTGTTTCTAATAATGGTTGGCGTATAGTTTTTCTAAATCGTGTTTTCTAAAAAAAATTTTTTTTTAACAAAATTTTAAAATAATCCAGTTAAAAATATCGTAATTAACAAATAGAAATTAAAGATATTTCTTTCCTAAAGATATTTAAAATTTTTTATAAATATATTAACTTTGGAAATTTTGGTGTAAAAATGATGCAAATTATTTTTTTTCAAAGAAGAACAGAATTTTGTTAACAAATTCTGATAAGAAATAGTAATTTTATAATATTTTTTCTTCATTTTCAAAAAGAAACTTATAATTTTGAAAACAGAATTGTGATTAAGAAACAGAAAATATGTAATATAGTTTTTATTTCTTAAACTTAAGTTTTTAACAATTTTCTAATTTTTATCAAAATTATGGAATTTTATAAATTTTAGGAAAATAAACATTAGAAATTATAACTTTTTAGAAAAACTTTTTTCAGAAAACAGATCTAATTAGAAATCGCCCTTTTTAAACAAAAAGGATTAGAAAATACATATTTTTTTAGAAAAAGTGTTCGCCTACCCTAATAATTGTTAGTATTCATCCGAAAAATATATTGAAAACATTGAAATGTTGATAATTGAAGGAAAGAAATTTTTAATAGAATTTATAAGTATTATTTTTTCTTAAATAAATACAAAGTACCCAATTCTGCGTAACAGGAACGGCAAGAGTATTAAAAAATGTAGAAAATACGGGATTTTTTAAAAGTTTATTGAATTATCATTTTAAAGGAGACTGAATTTGCCAAAAGAAATAAAAATACTAAGTTTCAGAATTTCATTAAATTTATAAGAATTTACAAAATGATAATGATTTCTTGAAAAAATTACATGTATTTACCATTTTAAACATCAGTTAAAAACATTCATTATTATAGAAAAACAAAAGACAACACTTTCTGTTCACGGAATAGCAAATTATTATTATGTATTACTTACTACAAATTTAATTATCAGAAATAAGTTACTAAAAAATTAATTATTACTAGATAATTGTCAAATTAAATATTTTAATAGATAATTAATCTATTAAAAAATTTAATTCTAGAGAAAAGAGAAGAAAGTTCACAAATATGTTGACAAATTTTCCATTTGATCGAATTTGCTTTTAGTCAAATTTTCGTTAAACTGAATTGTCACTTAATTGAATTTTTGTCCGAATTTCTAACTAAAGTAAATTTCTAAATTACAGAATTTGCAAATACTTGGTGAAATATTTTTCGAATTTACTACTTGTCAAAAAAATAGTTGACCAAAGTATTTTTTAATCGAAAATTCAAAAATTACGAAATAATTTTTGTTCTTTGATAATTTCCAATTAATCAAAAAATTTATTCAAACAAATGGAAATTCAATAAAATGGAAGTTTTGTCAAAGCAAAAGTTCAGTTAAAGTGCATTTCAGTGAAACGGGAATTCGCTCAATTATTGATTAGCAATGCGGTTCAAAAAAGATCGTCAATTTGATTAAAAGATAATTTTACAATTGTAAAATACCAATGAAATTTTGATTAAATAATAATTCATCTAAACAAAAATTACACCCAATCAAATTTTGTCTTAAAAAATGTCCAAATTCCCGAAATTCCAGATTTTTAAATTTAGTCCAATTTTATAAAGGTGAATTAATATGAGTGAGTTTTTACTTAACACGAAATGAAATGAAATTGTCTAATGAAAATTCATTTAACAAATTAATTTATTTGAAAATTTTATTTAAGGGGATTTGAACCTTGATGACGTCACAGTTTGTGCAAAGCATTAGTTTTAAATCTGTGACGTCATCATGGTTCAAATGCCCTTAACAAACTTTTAATATTTCCAGAATGAAAAGTAGCGGCTGATTTAGTTTTATATTTAATAGAATTTCGCTTATACTCAAAGTTTGAATGATAAAATTTTAGTTTAACTAGATTTTCATTTATCAGTCATGCTGTTGAATATAATAAAAGGTTTTGATACCAATTAAAATTCTAAAAATTTTCATAAAAAAAGAAGCACCCAAATAATTAATTGTTTTAAACAAAAAAATATTTATAAAAAAATTAATTCTTAAATATTTGACTTTTATAATGAAAAAAATTTTCTGTAAATAAATACTAGAAATTATTGTTTTTATGATCAAGAAAATTTCTATGGAATTTTTAATTTTTATTGTATTTGGTAATTTATTAAAATATTAATAAAAAAAATTTTTGCGAAGAATATTATTATTCTTCAAAATAATTGAATTTTTACAATAATTTGTAACTTTTCCAAAATTAAATTTTTTTTTCGTGTTTTTAACTAAAAGTCTTCTACAAATCCATTATTTTTAATAATTTTTGAAAAAGTTCATTGAGAATTTTCAAATTAATTTGATTATAATTCGATTTTACAAAATTTCAATTATTCGTAAATCCTTTAATTAAATATATATATAAGAAAATAAAAACTTGAAATAATTTCAAAAAAAAAAATCCGCAATTAAACTTTCTCACAAAAAATTAATTATTATACCTATATTAATATATTATTATTTTTCCATAAGAATTAAGATTTTCAAAAATTTCAAATTCAAACCTTTTTGAAATTATACAATTATTTTCAGAAAAATTTTTATAAAACATGAAGATATCGATCACTCCGAGTCTTCGACTCGGAGCAATCGTTATCTTCATGTTTTATAATAATAATTAAAGATGACCGACTGATAAAATCATTAAATTAATTATTTTTAATAATTTTTGAAAAATTTTTTTGAAAATTTTCAAATCCTTTTGTTTACAATACAATTTTACGGAATTTCATCGATTATTCGGAAATTCTTCAATTAAATATATATTAGAAAATAAAAACTTGAAATAATTGCAAAAAAGTTCCATTAAACTTTAAAAAAAATTATTTTACAGAATTGTTAGTTAAAAGTATGAAAAATTCAAACTTTCAAAGATTATAATTTCAAACCTTTTCAAAATTCAATTATTTCTAAAAATTCACGCTATAATACTTTCTCTTTAAATTTGAATTAGTAAAAATGTTTACTATTTTGGAATTAGTGACTGACTTTTTACATTTGAGGCCTTGGATCCAATAACTCGCCCGACGCTCGAAGTCACGCGCTAATACCAGTCGGGTAACAGTGAGTCGCCCAGAGGCGCTCACTGCTCACTGACTGGCAGTTGCGCGTTCCTCCGAGCGTCGGGCGAGTTATTGGATCCAAGACCTCATTTGAATTAGTAAATTTTACTATTAAATTAGTAGAAACGACTATTTATTGGTAAAATTTGCTATAATTCAAATGCAAAAAGTCAGTCACTAATTCAAATTAGAAAGCATTTTTACTAATTCAAATTTAGAGTTTAATATTCAATTATTATTTCAAATTTTAATTGAAATTCATTTTTTAATCAATTTTTAATAGAACATTCTACAAGAATCCAATTATTTAAATACAAAATTAAATAATTTATTGAATAATTGAATATTTCTTAAAATTGAATTCTTATAAAGAATTTTATCAATAAATTTTTAAATAATTGAATTGTTTTGACGAATTTAAAAAAAAAATTTAAGAATAATTACATTTTTCGAAGATTTTGATTAAAATTGTATTAAAAATAATTAAAATTCTCCAAATTATATCGTACAATTTACGAACTTTACGGACCTTTTTTTAATAAAAATGACGGACTTTTACGGGATTTACGGACCTAGTTCAAGCCCTGAAAATGGAATGAAAAATGTGACGATAAAATGGAATGAAATGTAAAAAGTAAATTTACCCGATCCATATCATCTTCGTCCTCGTCCTCATCCTGTCGCCTCGTATTCGGCAAATTAAATATGATGGGATTTGTCACGGAATTGGACATGGTTGTTGTCGTTCTAATTGTGCTTGTTGACGTCGTCCTCTCAGTTGTGGAGATTGGCGAGATATTTTGCACTGGACTCTTTGTTGGCAATGGCTTAAGGAGAATTTCTGGAATGTCTTGCTTCCTGCCATTACTTCCCGACAGAATTCTCGAAATACTGGGATAATGTAAAGTGGGCGCAAATTCATTGGAGATATTTCGCCTCTCTGGTTCAGAGGCCTCGTAATTTTTTTGCTCCTTACTTAAATTGTGTGTTTTACTTGTTTTGGTGACGGGGCGCTCGGGAGTTTGCGAGGGACCTTGAACAAGATCCGGAGGTCTTATCGGTATTCTCTCCTGCGCTGGAGTGCCACTCGGCGGCGGCACCGGCCTCCTCTGAATCACGTGGGGATCGTAGTGCGTCCCCCTCAGGGTCGGCTTGTCGGCGAAGGGATTCGAGAGTTCCGGCGGCAATGGGGGTGTGAAGAATGACTTAGACGGCGGTGCGTAGGACGGCTGCTCTCGAAAGACGGGCGAGGGTGTCGCTCGTGACGCCGGACTCCGAACCGACGGCGCTGTCCAGGTCGTCGAGAGTGGCGAGGGCACTGTCGAGAGTGTTGTGCTCGCCGACACCTGAGGCTCGAAGGCGGGGACACTTCGCTTTGTCGTCGCTGAACTGTGCGCTACTTTATTGAATATCGCCGCAATATTTTTCTCAAAGGCTGTACCGTCCAAATTGAACACTGGACTGTTGGGCCCACCGTCGTTTGTACCCAATGCGGAAACCAAGGAGATCAGCACAAATGGCACGAGTGTTCTGAACATTATTAGAGCCATTGGAAAATTGTTTTCGGGAAAGAATTTTCTATTCTTTCATTCCCATTGGATATTCCAGTAGTGTGTAAATTAAGTACTCTCCAACAATTCAAAATTACTACTTAATCAACTATTTTTATCACAAATTTCTTCAAATTTCCTATATCACTAGAATGGATCGATTTATCTTGATTGCACCTAATTCTTCTTTTATTGACGAACTGACCAAAAGTCTTATTATTATTAAAAGCACTGGATTTTTTTCTTGGTTTTCTCTTCCTCGGGAACGGATAGGTGTGCGGAGACTTTAACGCACCAGACCAGCCCAAGTTCATCGAGCTGCAGATATCCGTCCATGAAAGATCCTCTGATCGTTGCGGTTCTCCTTGGTCATTATCTCAGACAATCTTCGATAAGCGATGATCCATTCCTCGCCTTGCCGCAGAATCGATCAAAGGTCCAGATACCTGAAATCGAAATTGAGAATTAGAGAGAGGAAAACGGATTATAATTCAATATAATTTTTTTTCACAACAAAAAGAGAACCTCTTTTGACATTTGGAAAAAGAATTAAAATTTAATTTTCTCTCGCTTTGCAAGACAAATCGTCGTACAAAGCGAGAGGATAAAATTTCAACAGCAAACAAATATTGAATTAATTTTTCATTGAGAGACAATTCTCTTATGAAATTCTTGTCTCAGAGAGCTGGAAGATAAATGATGTTTGATTGAGGTAAGAAAAAAATTCATATTCCCCGTAATTACTCAGAAAAGATTACTTCTCATAATAACTATGAATTGAGTAACATATTCCGTGTAATCGTTTGTCACTGACTGAGTCTCAACTTATATTTCTCTCGACTTTAAAAGGAAAGGAAAAAAAAAGAAAAAAAATTCACGAAATAGCGTGTCGTATCGATTGAAGCGCATTGTAGAGGGGGAAAAAGGTCTCTTCTCCTGGAAAGTAACACCCATCTCCTAGAGTACAATTAATTCATTGAAAACTGATCCAAAGTATCTTCTCTTCCTCGCAGGTAAAGGTATGGCTTCAAAGCGCGAGGGAGTGGCTGCAGGAACTGTATGATTACCCCTCGGGTCCTATGTACACATTACAGCCCTTAAAGTTGTAATTTCAAGTTTTCGACGGTACATATATATAACAGGAAATTGGGTAGACGAAGACGTTAGTTTATGTAGAACTGGAAACAAGAAGAAGCCGCACATGTGACACGTGTTGCGGAGAAAGTTCAGGTCAGGGGAAAAAACGCCATTCTCAAACTCACGTTGGATAAGCACAAGGAAATCCTTTATGCCTGATTTGTTTTTTTCTCTATTTGTGAAAGATGTGAAAGTTAAATCCTTCGGAAAGCATCTTACCATCTTCCACATGCTGGGAATCAAAGCATTTCACTTATAGACTCTCTAAACATTTCTGCCACAAGCAGACTTAATAAAATTGGAAAACAGAACATTTCTCCTGCACGCGTCTACCTTTTTTTTTATTCATCGCATTTTTTTCCCGACTTAATTCAAATTAATTCGTATATTCAAATAAAAAAAAGAATTTCAGAAAAAAGATTCAGAAAATATTTCCATTCTTTTGATACATTCAACTTTTTAATTGGAATAAAAATCCGCAAAATGAACGTCAATATTTTTCTTACTGCTTTCAACTTTTATTTCATTAAAAAATATGCACTGCTTTGCGTATTAAAAAAATCCTTAACTAAGTAAATATTAAATTTACATTCGGAGTAATAATTTTTCAAAATATTTTTACAGAAAACAAATTTATTCACTCTAACGTTCAAAATTTTGAAAGGCAAACTAAAAAATTAAAACAAAATTTTGTTTTGAAAAAATTTTGTCAAAATTTTAATGAAAGGTAAATTAAAAAAATTGAAAGAAAAGTTTTTCATTTGTGGAGAAAATAATAAAACATTGATTCCATGTTTCGTTGTTCAAAAATAATTCATCAGAAAAAAATTAATGGTAAAATATGCGCAGTAATTTTTCGAAATTATTTAAACAGCTAAAAAATTTGTTTATTTTAACGTTCAAAATTTTTAATGAAATGTAAATGAAAAAAAAACTGAAACAATATTTATAGAGAAAATTGTCGGTGAAATAAAATTTTCAAAAGATTAAAACAAAGAAAAAGTTTACAAACAAAGAATTTTCCATTACTTTCAACTAACATTTATTGAATGTATTTTCATTTCAAAATTCAATCAATTGAAAGTGCAAATTATTTAACCGATCGATAATACATAGTTAATTGGTTCAATGAAATTGCCGCATATCTAATTGGAAAAATCATTATTCGATTTCTAACTGTGTTGAAACTAATTAAAATTACAATTGTTGAAATTTACCAATATAAAATAGCTATAAATTTACTAAATACTTATAATTATCATTCACTAATATTTCCTAATCTATTTTTTTATTTTTAAAACTATTTTTATTTTTTTATTACTATTTTTTATTAAATTTTCCTATTTTTTCTGTTCTCGTGTTTTCATTTATTTTATTCTTGATAATTTTGTATTTTTTCCATTTTTTGTGTTTTTATTTATTTCATTTTTATTAATTTTCTATTTTATTTTGACCTTTTGTTCCATTATCTTATTAAATATTGTTTTTTATAATAAAAAAAATTTTTTTTTAATTATACACTCAAATAATTGATTTTTACAATGAAAATATTTCTATAAAAACAAAACAAATACTCAAACGATTGATTTTTATAATACAAAAATTTATAAATAATAAACACTAAAATTTTTGTAAACAAACAAATTTCTGTAAAAAAAATAAATGATTTTTATAAATAAACAAAACAATAACTATAAAACAAATAATTTTTTTTTATAATCAATAAAATTTCCATGAAAAAATAAATAATGATCGAAATTTTTATAATAAAAAAAACAATCAAACGATTGATTCTCATGATACGAAAAAAAATCGATACAATAAAAAAGAAATAAACACTTGAAATGAATCGAAATGATTGTATAATGAAAATATATAAAAGGGCAATTTCCGGGTGTATATAGAGAGAATTTCGTATGAAATATAATCTTTCACTTTGTAATAAATAGTTTGAAAAATATAGTTAGATTTTATAACTTGTTTGCCGGATCGAAATAAATTGAGGAGAGTCTCAAACTGAATAAGTTGCATAAAGAAACTTTCTCGTTGAGATCTCCAAGTAAAGTGAATGAACTAGTTTAGTTTCCGAGGGCAAACTTCCGGATGTTATACTCCAAAATCCAAATGATGTTTTTCACAAAAGTTGTATTTCAATTAGAGCTTCAATGAGACACACCCCCTCCCTCCCCAACCCTTCTTTTACCGAATGGCTTTCAAAGCCAGAGAGAGAGAGACGAGAGAAAATTTACTTGCCTAATACAGTTCAGTGGGTTATTTTAGAAAATTACTGTACTTTAATCTTATTATTATTTTAATCCTTCTTTCCAAATTTTTTGTTAATTTTAATTATTTTTTCAACTCTAAATATTTTTTAAAAAATATTTTAACTCTAAACTTTTCTTTAACTTTACATAATTATATTTTTAAAAATATCTTTCTTAATTTTAAACGTTCATTTTTAAAATATTTAATTTGGTTTAATTCTAAATTTTTTCCTCAATTTTTATGTACATTTGTTTCTTCTTTAAATTGAAATTTGATTACATATTACTTTACAAATGAAAAAAATAAATTATAAAATCTAAGTTCTCAATTTTCGTTGCAATCCGTAAATTTTGAAAATATTTTTGATGAAAAATATATTCCGTTCATCAGAACGTTAAAAACTTGTGGATTCTTTTGAGAATAATTATTAATTCAATTACGAAAGTTGTATTATTAATATAATTGAATTCCCACGAAGAAGTTCTTGATTATTTATGAAAATAAATGAATTCTTGCCAAGAATTTTATTAAATTTTTTGAAAATAATTGAATTGTTTTGAAGAATTTTAATTTTTTGAAAATATTAGAGTTTCTATAATAATTGTAATTTAAAATTTTGAAAGTAATTGAATTTTATTACAATTTTTTTAAAAATAATAATTGAATTATTCCCAGAATTTTAATAACAATTTTGAAAATAATAAATTGAATTCCTAATATAATCAAAAATAAAATTTTATACAAATTGTACTGTAAATAATCGAATTCTTTTCAAGAATTTCCTTCAATTTTTTGTAAATATTAGAGTTTTTTTTAGTAATTTTAATTGAAAATTTTGAAAATAATTGAATTGCTTCAAAAAATTTTATTAAAATTTTAGAAAATAATAAACAATAATATTTGATTATGCAGTATAATGAGTGAATTTTTTTCTGTTCTGTAATTTGCATATAATAATAAATTGAATACCGTGCTTCTTTTTAATTATAAAAGTTCTTTTTCAGTTTTTAATCTTTCTCTTTATTGTAAAATGTCTTTTTTAGAATTTTTAATATTTTGTTTAATTTTTCAGTTCCTTTTTTCTGAAATTAAAAATTTCTTTCCTGTTCAAGTATGTGAAAAGTTAAAAAAATAAAAGAAAATTCAAGTTTAACTAGAACGTATACATATATATTCGTTTCTCGCTTAGAATTTTCTTTCTCGCGCGTTATGTGGCTACATTTTCCATAAAAAGATAACACAGAGTAATGCGTGCAAGAATATAAAAGATTATAAAGCCTTTTTAAAACTTAAATGCTATTTAAAACGATGTTAATTACTGTACGCAACGAGAAATTTTCGCAATATTCACGCTCTTGCGTAAAATATGCTCAACTCACACCATCAGCACAACCTTCTAATCGATTTTTACGCGTAAATACAAAAAAAAAGAGAGGAAAATTCATTGTCACTAAAGTTGACAATTAACATTCAACAAACCTTCACTAAACCAATTTTCTCCCAACAAAATTAAATGTATATTTTTGTTCCTTTTTTTAAAAAAAGCATTATTTCAAGTATATTTAACATTTTTATTTTTTACGCGAGTCATAAACAGTTAAAAACCATTTTTGCTCTTGCCTCCCCAAATATAAAGCATTTTCCTATATATTAAGAGAGAAAAAAATCGTACCCATATTTTGTCATAAATCATAATTTTTTCATGTTTGTATAAAATCACAATAAATTGAAATTTTTACGATATTACCTTGTTAATGCAGAATGGTTGCGGGAAAGGAAGAGGGGTTAAAAAAAGGAAACAAAAATGAATGACGATTTTGAAAATGAAAATAAATTTAGTAATTATTATGATATAAAATGCTTGTCAAAGAATGAACTTGTTGAAAGATCATGGACATGGAGAAAAACTGGTTTTTAATAAACTTTTCAAGCCGTCAAAGAGTCTTTTATAAGGGGATAAAAATCGTATCCCATCTGGTAATGTTCAAAAGACGTTGATGAGCTCATTTCTTGATACTCAACGGACATAAACGCCAATGGCCAT